CGGGCTTTCTAAGGAGGTGACATTTGAGCGGTGGCCTTAATGAAGTGAGGGAGGAAACTTTGTGGCTACTAGGACCCAGAAGAAGATGGTTCCAGGAGTGGAGCTTGGAGAGATGGGAGAGCATGTGAGTTCAAAGAGACATTCAGGATTCTATCCTCAACTGCATGGGAAGCCACGGAGAGGTTCTGAGCTAAAGGGCATCAGGACCTGAGGAATAATATTTTACAGGTACCCGTGATGCGCCCTATAGAGAACAGACCTAAGGAACCGAGAGTGGAGTGGGAAGAATTAGGTGACAGACAGGGTGGCTACGACCAGGAGGGCAGCCTGAAGGTGGTAACATCTAAAATGACTCTGGATCTGTTTTGAAGGTAGAGCCTATAAGGTCAGATTTTACTGGTGGATTAGATATGGAAGGAGAGAGAAAAAGGAGAAAGAAAGAGAGAGTTCCCTGGAAAGGGAGTGACCTGAGGTGCTGTTTACTGTGATGGGGGAACTGGAGCAGGGGAAGCTGTCCGGGCACAGCTGGGGTGAGGAAAGCAAGGGGAGGAAGCACAGGTCAGAAGGTCCCATTCTGTTTCATGGATTCAGTTTCCTTTTTGTATTTTTCTGAGGGTGTAAATGACTGTCCCTGCCTCCTTTCTGTTTCCTGAACTGACAGTTGTTTCCTCTGTGTTTTTAGCACCTATTTGAATGTTTTTTTTTTTTTTTATCTTTCTTTCATGTTGGGCAGCTTTCCTCAAGTGTCCGGTCACCCTTGGCTGTGGGGGCATAATTAAGGATGGACGTATGGAGCTTATTAATACATGGGTGCTGCTCTAAGATGACTGGTCTGCTTATTGTTAGGATCCCCAAATGTCTGTACCCAGAGGTCTTTGGTGCCTCTAGTTTCTCCAAGACAGTTTCCTCCACTTTCCTGCTAGGGCAGTGCAGTGTGCAGTCTGGCTGCGAGTGATCAGGATGTCAGGCAGAGCAGGGACTGGACTTACACTGTTCATCAGTTTTAAGTCTCATGACCTCATCCTCAGACCTAGTTCAGTATATATCAGGCTCAATTTATTTGACATTTATTTTTATTTATTTGGCTGCGTCGGGTCTTAGCTGTGGCCTATGGGATCTTCAATCATTGATTAATAGATCCCTCACCGGGGATCAAACCCAGGCCTCCTGTACTGGGAATGCAGTGGAGTCTTAGCCACTGGACCACCAGGGATGTCCCTCAGGCGCAATTTCTATAGAGGATAAACCCCCCTGGCATCCTGTGGAGAGAAGTGGGGGGCATCTCCCAGCTTTACAAAATTGGGGGGAGCCAGGGGTCCTAAAGTCTAACCAGGCCCCCCAATATTCAGTTCTGAGCTTTTCTCCCACCTCTGCTGTTCCCACTGCCTGTATGTTCTTCACCTTTCAAGGGTAATACGTGGGGAGCTCTAGCTTACTAATAACTGGGGTTTCCCTCTGTGAATGGTTGGGTTCTAGTACCCTCTCTTCCCCTAAGTCAATTGTAATGCCCTGGCCACTTTCTTGTGGGTTTAAAATATTTTATTGGCATTATTTAAAAAAAATTATTTATTTGGCTGTGTCAGATCTTAGTTGTGGCAGGTGGGATCTTCGCTGTATCACGCAGGATCTTTCATTGCAGGGTAGTTGCCTTGAGGCCTGTGGGATCCTAGTTCCCCGATCAGGGATCAAATCCAAGACCCCCGCATTGCCAGGCAGATTCTTAACTACTGAACAACCAGGGAAGCCCCACATTTACCTTTTGAGGCAATCTTCATTCCTTTGTGTAGATCTATGTTTTCTATCTGGTATCATTTTCCTTCTACTTGAATAACTTCATTCAACATTTCTTGCATGCCTTCTGGTGACATATTCTCTTAGTTCCTGTTTGTCCACAAAAATCTTTATTTCCCCTTATTTTTGAAGTATATTTTTCACAAGATATTGAATTCTAGGTTGACAGTTCCCATCCCCACCCCCCCCAGCACTTTAAAGATTTCATTCTATTGTCTTCTAGCTTGCATGCTGCTGCTGCTAAGTCACTTCAGTCGTGTCCGACTTTGTGCGACCCCATAGATGGCAGCCCACCAGGCTCCACCGTCCCTGGGATTCTCCAGGCAAGAACACTGGAGTGGGTTGCCATTTCCTTCTTCAATGCATGAAAGTGAAAAGTGAAAGTGAAGTCGCTCAGTTGTGTCTGACTCTTTGCAACCCCATGGACTGCAGCCTACCAGGCTCCTCCGTCCATGGGATTTTCCAGGCAAGAGTACTGGAGTGGGGTGTCATTGCCTTCTCCATCTAGCTTGCATGGTTTCTGATTTTAAAAAAAAGTAGAATTTTCTGTATTCGTCCTTCCATACATAGTGTGTCTCATTTCTCAAAATGCTTTTAAGATTTTCTTTTTATCACCAGTTTCTAGCATTTGATTATGATGGGCCTTGGTGTAGGCTTTTGGGTATTTATCTTCCTTGGGATTCATGAGTTCCTTGGTTCTGTGGATTTATTATTGTATTACTTTCTGCAACAAATTACTAGACAGGGTGGGTTAAAATAATAAATTTATTCTCTCATCACTTTGGAGGTTGGAAGTCTACACTCAAGCAAGATACCTACACTGCTCCCTCCAAAGGCTCTAAGGGAGAATCCTGCCTTGTGTCTTCCAGCTGCCCGTGGCTCTCCGCGTACCTTGGCTTGTGGTTGCGCCACTTTAGTCTCTGCCTCCTCTCAGAAGGAACGTCTCTCTGCATCTTACAAAGACACATAAAACTGGATTTAGGGCCTTACTGGATAATTCAGGCTGATCTCATTTTGAGATCCTTAACTGTATCTGCAAAGACCCTTTTTCAAAATAAGGTCACATTCATAGCTTCTAGCAGTTAGTATGTAGATATGTAGACATATTTTTTGGTTTTTTTTTGAGGGGAGGGGATGGCACCAGTATTCAGCTCACTATAGTAGGTTGTTTTGTTGTTGTTTTTTAACCGAATTTGGAAATTTTTTGGCTATTTCTTTAAACTGTCTTATTCTTCCACTTCCTTTCCGATCCTGTGGGATTCCAATTATACATATGTTAGAATGCCTTATAGTGTCTGACAGATTGCTGAGGCTGTTTGAATGTTTTTTCAGTACCTCTTTTCTCCTCTGTTCTTCAGTTTGTATAGTTCTGTGGCTGTATCTTTAAATTCACTTATTTTATTTTCATTCTGTAGTGTCTAATCTGCTATTAACTCTACCCAGTGAAAATTTCATTTCAGAACATTTTATCTCCCAATTTGTCCTTTGTGAATGTTATTTTTCTTTAAAGTTTTGAGCATACTGAGCCATTCATCCTTATTATATCAGAATATGTTTCTATTAAATGATTTTTCTCCTGATTATGGGTCATATTTTCCTACTTCTTGTGCATATCTAGTAATTTTTAACTGGACGTTGGACATTGTAAATGCTGTGATATTAAGCATTGGGATTTTGCTATCTTCATTTAAAGGAATGTTAAGCTTTGTTCTGGCAGCCTAATTTAAGTTACTGGCAAATCAATTTGATCCTTTTGAGCTTATTTTTTATCTTTATTAAAATTAGGTTTGGGTGGGTCTTTAAGGACAGGCTGGGGTTGCAAAGAGTTGAACACAGCCTGGTATCTGAACAACAACTTCTAAGGTATAATCCTTCTTTTGAATACCTCTCTATTGAATACCCTGGGTAATCAACAAGGGCTCTCTACTTTAGCAGGTTGGAGCTTGAATGCTTCCCTGCTATGGCTGAACTCTGAGAATTTTTCTTATTTTGAGTCTATTGTTTCTTTTCTGCCTGGTTTTGTTCAGTTTCACTCTAAAAATGTGAAGTTTAGTATTTAGCAAAGACTCAAAGGAACCACATGCAGATTTCTGGAGCTCTTTAAAACAAACAAACAAAACAGCTTACTTTTCCCTGGAACTCTGCCCTGCAAGTTTTAACTACCTCAGTCTCCCTGCTACTATCTCTCAGCTCCTCAGCGGACTACCATGCTCTGCTGGGGATTCTCCTCTCTGGAAGGCTGTTTGGAATATTCCTCCAAGTAAAGACTTAGGCAATCATAGGTCCCACCTTGTTTGTCTGTCTTACTTTGGGGATCACAGTCCTGGACTAATTGTTGCCTAATGTCTGCAAACAATTATTTCAAGCAATAGTTTTCTCTGTTCTGGGTGCGATGGTAATTTCAGTTATTTATTCATGTCGGCATAGAAGCCTTTCCCTGGCATTTTAATCAAGTTCTGGGGCAGAGAAGAGCAGTTACACACATGTGGTCAGTTCACATATTTAAACAGAAGTCCTACTCTCCTGAAGTATATCTAAATATTTATATTTAACAAACATATGTTTTTATCACCCAACAAAAATCTCATGCAATTTAACTGTGCTATTCACAAAACAACAGGATTTATTTTAAAAAATGTTAGTGTCCCATAGGCACAGGACACGGATTTGAAAGTGTACCATGAACATGTTCTTTTATTCCTGTTAATGTATCATTGCAGCTGTGCTAAAACCTCACGGTGATAATGTCAGTGATCTAAACTGGTGGCCCTTCCTGAAGGTGTGGTCTTGGGCCCCTAGGATAGGTCTCAGGTGCCCTTCCTGGCCAGTAGCCTCTCTAGACCACCCTTCAGCCCCAAGCTTACTCTTCACAGGCAGATCACTGGGCCTTGGAAGAGTGAACCCAGTCAGGGCACCTAGGAGAACTGGAAAGGAAGTTCCTCCCTTTCTCAGAGTTACTTCCTGGCCTGGCCTGCAAGCCCCTTTCCACTCGACCCCAGCTCATTGTGCCTGTCTCTTCCACTGCTTTCTGAGACAGGCAAGGCAGGACAACTAGGTGATTGCCGCCTGCCTAGAGGTAGACAGCTCATCGCTGTATCTTCCTGAGGCCTTTCCACATTGCCTTGATTCCATCGTTAATGGAATCTCGGAGGCAGGCTTAGAAGGGCTACCTCATGAAGTGACCAGGGCAATCACTTCACCTCCTCCAGGTGGACATTGAGCAGCTGGATCCCCGTGGGCGGACTCCCCTGCACTTGGCCACCACCCTGGGGCACCTCGAGTGTGCCCGCGTGCTCCTGGCGCACGGCGCAGACGTAGGCAGGGAGAATCGCAGCGGCTGGACAGGTGGGCACTCCTGCTCGTTTCCACCCCACAGCCTGGGTCTCCCGGCACCATATGGTCACCTTTGGTTGGCTGCAGGGAGCCCTAGGCAGGGTCCTGCCCTGTGACATTGCCTCCCCCCGGCCCCACCCCCAGTGCTTCAGGAAGCTGTGAGTACCCGGGACCTGGAGCTGGTGCAGCTGGTGCTACGGTACCGGGACTACCAGCGGGTGGTGAAGCGGCTGGCGGGCATCCCCGTGCTGCTGGAGAAGCTGCGTCAGGTGAGGGCCAGCCCTTCGCTTCCCCGCCCTGGCCCTCAGACCCTGTCTCCAGTGCGGGCTCAGCCACTCTCCTTTCCATCCTCTAGGCCCAGGACTTCTACGTGGAGATGAAATGGGAGTTCACCAGCTGGGGTAAGCGGGGCTGCTGGGGCCTCTGGGGGCCGCCCCCCAGCCCAGGGCTCCTGCAGTGCTGCTCCCCTGCCTGCAGCCCTCTTCCCATCGCGCTCCCATGGCTCCCTTCCACCTTTTAGTTCTCAGCTCAATGCTGTCTCTTCCTGAGGCTTTTCCACATTGCCTCGATTGTTATTAATTCCTTCACTTTGTAATGACTGGCTCTTTTGTCTGTTTGTCACCTGTCATCCCTTGCTAGAAGGTAAGCTCCAAGACAGCAGGGGTCCTGTCTTGTTCAATGTTGTATCCCCAGTGCCTGGCACAGAGGAGGTGTTTAATAAATATTTGTTAGAAGACTGGATGAAAGATTGAGTGAATGAATTAAATGGTGACTACTAGGGACTTAGTGGTGGCTGACTCCTGCCTGTCTCTGACTTTAGTTTGCTCATATGAGTGACTGTGGTCTACATTTGTTGTGGGGGGAGTTGGGGGAGAGGTTGCTCTGCCACCAGTTCCCTTACCCATTCCCAGACACACCCTTGACCCCCATGTTCTGAGGTTTGGTGGGCCAGGCAAATCGAAGCCACCTCTGACCTTCTCATTCACTCAGTGCCCTTGGTGTCCAAGATCTGCCCCAGTGACACCTACAAAGTGTGGAAGAGTGGACAGAACCTTCGTGTAGACACCACACTCCTGGGCTTTGACCACATGACGTGGCAGCGAGGGAACCGCAGCTTCATCTTCAGGGGCCAAGGTCAGGCAGGTGGGAGGCAGGGCAGGGTGGTGAGGCCGGGGACACCCCACGTGGCCCCTGACTCTCTGAGCTATTCTGTGGCTGGCAGACGCGAGTGCGGTGGTTATGGAGATTGATCACGACCGCCGGGTGGTGTACACGGAGACCCTGGCCCTGGCCGGGCAGGACCGTGAGCTGTTGCTGGCTGCTGCCCAGCCCACGGAGGAGCAGGTGCTGAGCCGGCTCACGGCACCTGTTGTCACTACGCAACTGGACACCAAGAACATCTCCTTTGAGAGGTAAGTGGGCATGGCCTTGGAAGCCTGGAGCCAACCTGGTGGGTGCCCCCTCACCTAGACCACTCTGCTTCCCCAGGAACAAGACAGGCATCCTGGGCTGGCGCAGTGAGAAGACCGAGATGGTGAATGGGTATGAAGCCAAGGTGAGGTCACAGCTCCCAGGTGCCAGACCCACCACACTCTTGCCTACAGTGAGCGGGACAGGGGCTTCCTGACCAGTTTCTAAGCCTTGGAGGTGCAGAGACAATACAGTCTGGAGGGAAGAGCCTGAGACTAACAGGCAACTGATGAGAACAGCTGGAGTTTATTGGTCCACCTAATACTACGTTCAGGCTTCCCTGGCGGCTCAGGGTAAAGAATCTGCCTGCCAACACAGGGGATGCAGGTTTGATCCCTGGGTCGGGAAGATCCCCTGGAGAAGGAAATGGCAACCCACTCTAGTATTCTTGCTTGGGAAATCCCATAGAGAAGCCTAGTGGGCTACAGTCCATGGAGTTGCAAAAGTTGGACATGATGTAGCAACTAAAACAAAATTATTACATTCGTGTCAATGCTCTGTTCTGACATTTTAAATGTATGTGCATGTATGTGTGTGTGTGTATCTACTGTACACATGTACACAAGTCTGTGTACATATGTGTGTATGTCTCACACACTCTCATTTAATCCTCACAACAACCCTTTAAGGTAGGTGCTTTTATTATTCCCATTTTACAGATGGTTTACAAAAGGTTAATGTTAATCAACCTTTCTGTGGTTTCCCATTTAATCTTCACAACAACTCTATGAAGTAGGGTATTGGCCCATTTTATAAAGAGGAAGCAGAAGCTTAAAATGATTAAGTAACTGGCACAAGGTCGCCCAGATCTGCTGGCTGACTCCAAAGCCAGGCCCTCACTCCTGAGCAGACTGTTGAGGGAGGTCCCCCACAGTCACTAATGGGACCCTCCCGTCACCCACCTGGGGTCACATGGTGAAGAGGCTAACCTATGCAAGGTTCTGTGTTGTTGCTATTTCCTCCTGGAGGCCTTCCCTGGTTCACAGGCTAGGTTATGGTCTCTGCTTTTTATTCCCACAATCCTGTGCTTCTCCATCTAGAGGACATGTCACACTGGCTTATTACCATCCACTGTCTTCTTGTCTTTTCAAAAAGACTGTGAGCCTCAAGAGGGCAGGGATGATGTCTGGCCATGCTTGTTCATCACTGTTTCCCTGATGTCTGCCTCAGTGTCTGGCCTAGAAATGGTCCTCACAAAATGTCTGTTGAATGAATAGGAAAATGAATGAATAACTTCATATAATTACTTGCCCAAAGGCCTGGAGACTGGAACAAATGGTACTTCCCTCCCCTGATCATTCCTTAAAGGAAATGTTTGTGATGCCCTTGGGGGCAGGGGCAGGGACAGAGGTACCAAAGCTGTCAGTGGGTCCTTTCCTCATCTGTCCCCAGGTATATGGGGCATCCAATGTGGAGCTCATCACCCGGACACGGACAGAGCATCTTTCAGAACAGCACAAGGGCAAGGTCAAAGGTAATCAGGCAGAGGTGGGTGGGGGATGGGGAAGAGGGGTGTGGGGAGGAACCAGCTCCCACATGAGCCCCTCTAATCAGTATTTCCTCTGACATGCTAGCAAGAGTCCGGATAGCTTACTTAGGCAGATAGGCTTCAATTCAAATGCCAAATCCTAGTGATTGGTAGTGGCTGCCTAGAGTGCTGATAAAGATTCTAAGGCAACATTTGGGCTCAATGGGAAGGGATGCTATAATTGATTACTAATATCTGCACTGGATTTGTGGGTGGGGGGGGGTGTCACATATGCTGTCTGTCAGCCACTCCAGTCTAGTGAGACATAGCGGAGGCAGAAAGACATGGGCCCTGCCACTCTGTGCCCACTGATACTACACCTGACTCTGGGCACCAGTTAGTCTGTTTAAAGTGGGAAAATGTAAGTCCCACCTCACAAGAGAACAAAATGAAGTTACAATGGAAGCCCCCAAAGAAAAACACATACAGATGCACACCCCCAAACTGCTCACCAAAGGCAGGTGTTTTTTGTCCAGTGTCACCAACCTGAAGAGTGATGTTTTGGGAAGTCTCTCCTGAGTCCCAGGCCTACTTTCATTCCAGCTGTGCTTGTGGTGGTCCTGCCCCTGCCCCCTTGGAGTCCTCAGTCACCTTTAGGGGAAGGTGCCTGGGTGTGTGGTGTGGGTGAGCCGTCCTCCCTGCCCACCAGGGACCAGCCTGCTCCCTGGGTCTCGGGTGCTGTCCCTTCTCAGGGCTGCAGTGTCCTCTGAGATGCCGTGTTTCTCGTAGGCTGTAAGACACCTCTGCAGTCCTTCCTGGGAATTGCTGAGCAGCACGGGGGCCCCCAAAATGGGGTGAGTGTGTGCCAGTGGTACCTCTGTGTGGAAGGGCACAGATGGGATCAGGAGGAGGCATCCTGTGTGGATCTGCTTTCTTTCCACAATGCCCAAGGCCCTGTCGGCTCCACAGTGGTGGGGAGTGGGGCAAGGGAGACAGATCTGGGGCTTGTAATACCAGGTGGCTGGCCTGGCCTCGGGGACTGAGAAGGGCTCATGAGCTCCTCCCTGTGTGGTACAGACCCTGATCACTCAGACCCTGAGCCAAGCCAATCCCACTGCCATCACTGCAGAAGAGTACTTCAACCCCAACTTTGAGCTTGGAAACCGGGACATGGGTCGCCCCATGGAACTGACCACCAAGACACAGAAGTGAGGGCCCCTGCTGGGCCTGGGCCGGGCTGGGGGAGGGGTCAGGGCTTCTACAATGGCCCTCACCCTTTGGGGTCTGCGGGGGGTTAGGTTCAAGGCCAAGCTGTGGCTGTGTGAGGAGCACCCCCTGTCCCTGTGTGAGCAGGTGGCCCCCATCATTGACCTCATGGCCGTCAGCAACGCACTTTTCGCCAAGCTCCGGGATTTCATCACCCTGCGCCTGCCTCCGGGATTCCCCGTCAAGATTGGTGAGGCCTCTACCCCCATTCCTCTTGAGCTGCTCTAGGGAGAGTGGGGCTTCTTAGGAGGTTAAGAGGGGGTACCCATGGTGGGAGGGAGTGGGTGGTGGTGGCGCCTGATGAGTTTGCTCATCCTCAGAAATTCCGATTTTCCACATCCTCAACGCCCGCATCACCTTCGGGAACCTCAATGGCTGTGACGAGCCGGTGCCGTTGGTGCGAGGCAGCCCTAGCAGCGAGACCCCTTCCCCAGGCAGCGACTCCTCCAGCGTCAGCAGCTCCAGTTCCACCAGTGAGACCCCGACTCCGCCCTCACTACCCCCACTACCCCGGCACCCACCGAGAGCTTCCCCGGGGAGCGGGAGGGAGGGGGCGTTCTGGTCCACTCTGACCCCCCTCCCCGCCTCCCCGGCCTGGTGCCCTCAGCCTCATGCCGCGGCTGCGAGATCTCCCCCGCGTTGTTCGAGGCCCCGCGCGGCTACAGCGTGCTGGGCGGCCAGCGCGAGGCCACCACCCGCGACGACGACGACGACCTGCTACAGTTCGCCATCCAGCAGAGCCTGCTCGAGGCGGGCAGTGAGTACGACCAGGTGCGTCCCCGGAGGCCGCGCGGGGGGTCCCCACCGGGACCACAGCGCCGCCACCACAGCTAACGGGCTCACACCCCACCCCGCAGGTCACCATCTGGGAGGCGCTCACCAACAGTAAACCGGGCACTCACCCCATGTCCTACGAGGGCCGCCGGCAGGACAGGTCGGTGCCCGCCCGTCCTGAGAGGCTTTCGAAGTGTCTATGCCCCCACCCTCGCCTCCACACACATAGAGAACACACAACTGTTCTCACACATAGAGAACACGACCGGGACCCTGTCCACAGCGCGTCCGGTCACTGCCGGCTGGGCAGCCCCTCTTGGCCCGGAAAAACCGCAGTCCCCTCATCAGGGACCCTGCTGGCGTCAAAGTGGCGTCCTTTCTCAACCCAAAGGCGTCCTGAGAGCTTTCACAGATCCTCACCAGAGAGGCGGGGCTGGGATCCGCTCTCATCGGGTGGGAGGGAGCCAGGGAGGTGACGCGAGACCCTTTGACCGCACTGTGGGGTGGCGAGGCCCAAGGTGTCCGAGGGCCTCCACGCTGCCTCCCGCCCCGCTTCTGGGCAGATGGGCCCTAGACGTCTCTTTACCTGTCCCGCAGGAGCGCTCCGCCCACGCCGCAGCGCCAGCCCGTACCTCGCGCCGCCCTGGCGTCGGTGCCCAGCCCTCGGCCCAGCCCGCGCCCAGGCCCGGGCGGCCACGTGTTCCGGAGCTACGACGAGCAGCTGCGGCTGGCCATGGAGCTGTCTGCGCAGGAGCAGGAGGAGCGGCGGCGGCGCGCGCGCCAGGAGGAGGAGGAGCTGGAGCGCATCCTGCGGCTCTCCCTGACCGAGCAGTAGCGCCCTCTGCCGGGCGCCCAGGCCACGCCCCGCGGAACCCGCCCCGGAGTGAGGACCGCCCCGCCCGTGCGCTCGCCGAGACTGGAGACCGGAGGGGTCGCCTGGCGGGCGCAGCGGCGCACCCGTCCACCGACGGGGAGGGGTTCGGCCCGGCCGCGGAGTACCTTTCCGGGTCAGGGCCCTGGAGGCAGCTGGCACGGCCCGATTCCCTTGCTTTGCTGTATCCTGACCCCCCGCCCACCAGTCTCCCCTGGGCTCGGACCGGTCCACGGGTGGAACCAGGCGGTCCTGTGGGGGAGATGGGCCTGAGAGGAGCAGGGTCCCCATCCTCTGCTCCTTCTGGCCGGTCCTCCTTTCTGCTCACTGACCCCACTCCAGGACACTGCCCGTGAAGCCTTTGCATCTCCGCTCTTCCCCCCGGGGGGAGGTGCCGCTGAGCTCCCCACGTGCTGTGTTGCCGCTTTGGCCCAGACACAAACCAGCACGTCCAGGGCCCAGCCCCTCCCCCACCCCCGCATTTCAGCGTCAAGTGCACTTAGCGGGGTGCCAGGCTCCCCCAGCCCCCACACCCCTCCCGGGTCTCAGGGTGGTCCTAGCTTCTCTTGGGGGCGGCCAGAGGTTGGAGTCCCCATCCCCAAGGCACGTTTTTGTGATCAAGGAGGAGGCTAGGTCTGGGCAAGTCCTGGCTCCCTCATGGTGTCTTGGCGAATGAGGGGCATAGTGGGTGCGGCGCAAACACAAGACAGGGGTCGCCCAGGGCCGTGGCACCACTACCCACCCCTTCCCACCAGCTGCTGCTAGCCCTCTGTGGTTGTGCATCCTACTTTCCCCACCCAGGGGCTGACTCTAAAACCCTTCATCCAATGGTGCTAACCCCCGAGAAGCACAGACCCCGCTGGGGGCAGGGGCCCACCACACACCCTTGTCTGGGTTCTCTCGGACTGGCCTTCCTGGCTCAGCCAGTGCGGCTCAGAAGGGACACAAAAGGGATGGAAGAAAAAGAACAAAGAGAAGCTGTTCCTCTCACCCCCTTCCCTGATGCCAGGGGCACCAGACTGATTCTGAGGCACAAATAAAAGAGGCTTCAAACCTGAGGTTTTTCCTATCTGCCTTTACTGGGGAAGACCGCCCACCCGCGGGTTGAGGGTTCCTTCTGAACCTCAGAGTGGAGAGGACTCTGAAGTAAAAGGACTTCTGGTGGGTCCTGAGCCGAGGGTTTCATCTGTCAGGGCCTCCGGGATTCTGGCGGTGGCATTTACAGAGGCTGAGGGTCTCACATTCCCACCCATGCAGGAGGCAGAGACTGAGCACTTGATAAAATGTTTCATTCAGAACATCTTGTTTTCCTTCTAGAGTCAAGGCCACAGCAGAGGGCTGGGAGCTGTGTGTGTTTGTGTGTGTGTGTGTGTGTGTGTGGTGGAGGTGGAACCTGCTTCTTCATGCCAGTTTTCTGGTTGGTTCTCCTGTGGAAGTGGCACGAGGAAGCCGCCCTCTCCCCTGCAGGTGGGGAGAAGGAAGGGAGCCCTCTGCCATGGACTACTGGGTGTAGCCCGGGGGACTGGAGCTACAGCCAACGTTTGTCTGTCTGTAGAACTGGGGCGATGCCCGTTCAGTTGACCACTCAGGGTGGTGGGGTCAAGTGAGCTGATTAGAGGGAGAAGCGTTGTAATTTCCCCCAGTCTGGGGAGACCCGTCGAATCGCTACCCCTTTGAGGTCAGGCCCAAGCTCCCCACCATCTCCAAGCATTGCGCTAACACTAAGCACTTGCTCTGCCCTGGGCGAGGAACAAAGGGGACACTGCCTGCGGTACAGCACCATTGCTGAGGCCCCGTCAACCCGGGCTTTCCAAGGCCAGCTCCTGCCTAAATCCCGGACGAGGTACGCAGCCAGGCGGGCGCCAGACGGACGCGAGTCTCTGCAATTGTCCAGGACTCCCGCCAAGGGCGGAGTTCCCTCCCCAGTCCCCGCCCAGGCCTAGAGGGGCGGAGTGCGGAGCTCCGGACCCAAAGTCGGGCCGGGCGGGTGCGCTGGCGCTCCGCCCCGCCGTGCCTCCGGGCGTGGACCTCCCCGGCGGCGCTGCGCTAGTCCGTGCCGTCCACCAGCTCGCACAGCATATTCTCCAAAGATGTGATGCGCTGCTCCTGGGCCTGCACCTGCTCTCGCAGGGCCTTAATCTCCTCCAGCAGCGTCTCCAGGGTGTGCTGCTGCGGGGCGCAGAGGACCAGAGAGGCGGTGTTGGGCGCGGGGCGGTAGGGGGCTGTGTATTGGGCCTCGGTGGAGCCGGGCGGAGCCTTACCGACAAGGGGGCATCGCTGGCTGACTGGCTGCGACGAGGACCGGAGGGCGGGCGCACGTCCAGGATGTTGCGCTTGGTGACACGGAGCTCGCGGTGCTTGGGAGGCACGTAACCGTCCCTCAAAGAGATGAGCACGGGGTCGGCGTCCTGACCTGATAGCCATTCATCCGCTTCTAGGGCCGGCTCTGGGCCGGGTGTATCTGGGTAAAGGTCGTCCTGGAACAGGTCTGACTGCGGGGGTAGGGAGACAGAAGAACAAGCGGAGTGCCCGGCCTCCTCCGCTCCTTTCCGCCTCGGAGCTCTGCCCACCCCTTTCGCAATCAACTCACCTTGCGGGGCACAGTCATGACGATGGGTTCACATTTTCTTTCGTGCAACTTGTAGAACCTAAAAGGGAACGGGGATCAGCACCCGCTCAGGCTCCCACTCCCTTCCCTAACCAAGGAGTTAGCGGCCAACATTTGCTGGGCGCCTACGATGCATTGCACTTGAAACACATCCAACTGGTAAAACGCCTCTCAGAGGGTGTTTATCATCCTTACCAGGTTAAGAAACTGAAGTTCAGAGAATGTCAAGTGTGTAGCGTTGGGGCTGGCAGTGGAAACGAGTCTGTTTGACCCCAACCTCCCAACCCAGCCCACTCCTTTCCAAAGATTACACGCCTGGGGAAGCCCCCGCGTCTTCCCGGATGGGACGTGGGGACAGAGGCAGGTGAGCAGGAAGGGCAAAGCTGCTGACCGTGCGATCTCGCACTTGCTGACATCGAGTCCCCGCTTGGGCATGAAGCCCATGCCCCTCTGCGGCTCCTTGCTGCTGAAGGTGTTCAGGTAGTGCACGAAGGGCGGTTCCTCGGTGATCTCAAAGTACCGAATGCTGCTGTCGCCCTGCAAAGCCAGTCGGTTCAGAGCCGTACCGGGCGGGCCCCCTCATCTCCGTCCGGCCCCCTCCTCTCCCCTCCCGGCCGCCAGCACCTTTCCGCACAGGTAGACGATGCTGGAGTCGGGATCGTAGAAAGGCAGTAGGACCCCGTTGCTTGTGTCCATCTCCTGCAGCGCCACTGGCTCCTCGAAGTTGTTCTGCCCAAGCACAGGAGGCGTGAACAGCCAGCCCCATCCTGACCTCGGTGCCGCTTCCGGATGCCCCGAAGCTCCTGGCCGCTGCCTGCCCTCCCTGACGCCCTCGCACTCCCAAGGCAGCTCTGGTGACGGAACTGCAGAGCCCACCTCTGGACACCACTCCTGGTCCCCGCACCTAGACCCCCTGCGCCGCCGCATGCAGTCACTGCAAACCACCCCCAGGGACTGGGCATCACCAGGTGGGGGCGCCAGCGTGGGCTCCTTCAGGCGACGCAGCAAAACTGGGCAGAGGGGTGGGTGTGGGGATGGCAGGCGCTGCCAAGGGGGCAGCAGCCTCCAGCCCTGTCCAGGTGGGCATGCCCTGCGGGTGGGGGGCGCCTGGCCCCTCCCCCGTGATGCCAGTCCCCGGGGCACACACCCCAAGCGTCCAGCTGCGTTACCGGGTCCCACAGGCCCAGCTCTCGCTGGCTCATGCGGGTGAAGCCCGTGGTGAAGATATGACCCTGGCGCGTGAAGACGGCCCGCATGGGCCTCATCCCCTCGTGGGCCGCAAACCTCTCCTGGGGGAGGGGAGGGGGAGACAGGGAGAGGCGTCACCCAGCTGCCTGCCCCGGGGAGCCTGGAGGGCCGGGCAAACAACTTGCTGACTGGGGTGTGAGGGCGGGGGCGGAGACAAAGGGGGCCCTAAATATTCAGTTTCCCGGGCCCCCCCTGCGTGGCCCCAGGCCTGGAGAGCGCGGGGCGCGCGCGTCTCTCTGCAGATGCTGAGCCCTTAAACGCCCTCAGGGCAGGGGAGATGTCTGCGGGCTTCCCCGGAGCGCAGCCAGGCTCTTCCCAGACCGGAGCTCCCCGCTCCGCTTCGGCTCTCTTGGGCGCGGGCCACGGCCGGGGAGGGCGCTCCCAGCTGACCCAGCGAAGGAGCGAGCGCGTGCGCCCGGCGCGGCCTGGCCTACCGGGTCCCAGAGCGCGAGTTGCCGCTCACTCATCCTGCTGAAGCCGGTGCTGAGCAGCTTCCCGTCTGTGGTGAAGACGGCCCGCAGCGGGCGGGCGCCCTCGTGAGGCCGGGCTCGCTCCTGCTCGCGGGGTTAGTGGGTTAGAGCGCGCGCTGCTCCGCCCGGCCCCGCCGCGCTGGACGCGCGCCCTCCGCGCCGACGTGCAGTGTCCCGCGCAGCCCGCGCCCCGGGTTAGATTGAGGCTGGTGAGGCCGGTGCCGCCGCCCTCGCAGGCCACCCAGCTGGGATAGACAACGCGCGGGGATGGCCCCCAACCCTCCGCCCGGCGGGTCAACTAGGTTGGAAAGGGGCCTGTTCTCGAGCCAGGGTTGGGCTCAGACCCGGGAAGAAGGCGTGCCGGTTGGGAGGAGAGGGGTCCGGGGGCTCAGGGTCATGCAAGGTCTGGTGGGAGGATAGAGTTTGCAGCTTCTCCCCTCCTCGGTCACGAATAGGGCAGCCCTCCTCTGGGCTGCTGAGATGCAGGGAAGGGGAGGAAACAGGAACTGGGCGGAGACTAGCGGGGCTGGGGGCTTACTTAGGGCAGGGGGCTAAAGGGAGGACTGGGATCTGGGATCGAGGTGGAGAAGGTGAGCGCTGGAAGCAGGGCTTAGGGGAGGGCGGGTACAGAGGCCTGACAGCTGCCCCCTGACGTAGGGGCTGGGGAGTGGCCAGGCCAGGCACTCACCGCCACCACCTGGCCCTTGCGCGGGTCGATGATTCGCAGGGTCTTGTCCTTGCAGGTGGTGGCTAGCAGGCTCCCGTTGGTGTTCCAGCACACGCTGTGGATGACGTCCGGATGCATGTCGTCTAGACTCAGGAGCACCTCCCCAGTGCCCACGTTCCAGACGATGATCACATTGTCACCACCTGCCCAGAATGGCCAGTCACCATCACCTGGGCCCCGCCTTTGCCACTCCCCCCATTCCCGACCTATGGTAGGACCCCTTCCTAGCCCCCCAGACCTGCACTGAGCAGGACATTCCGGGCAGTGGGGTGCCAGGAAAGGATGCCCACACGTTTGGAGTGGCCCTCCAGTGTGATGATGGGCTCTGTGATGTTGCGCACAGGGGTATAGTCTGGAATCTGCCACACCTGGGTGGAAGGAAAAGGCGTAGGGTAGGTCGGATGAGGAGCCAGCTTCATCACTGCCCCTCCCCTACTTCCTGGAGAAGGAAATGGCAACCCACTCCAGTATTCTTGCCTGGAAAATCCCATGGACAGAGAAGCCTGTTCATGGGGTTACAGGCTACAGTTCATGGGGTCGCAAAGAATAGGACACGACTGAGAGATTTTACTTCTTCACTTCTTTCCCTAATCCCCCACCCCCACCTCAACTCTACCGGCTCTCTTGGGCGGTAAGGGTCAGATGCAGGACATGTGATGGTGCCTGCCTGGGGCAGAAACTGCTGGGAGCCAGGAGGGGGCGCTGTCAGCTCTCCAGAGACCTCCCTACTCCCCTGAGAAGGGAGACTTAAGAGCACTGCCCCCCTGCTCTTCAGGCTCCAAGGTAGCCACGGCTATAATTAGTCCTAAGCAGTGCATCCTGGGAGGGGGTGGGCATGTAGCTGAAAATAGCCTGGGAGCTGGGCAGGGCAGGCCCTGGCACTCAGCACCTCCCTTACCACCTTACAAAGCACAGGTGAGGCCGCCTTCCCCGCCTCCCCTGCCCCACAGCCCAGCAGCATCCACCTGGTGCCTACCATGATGGTGGTGTCGTCTGAGGCACTGGCGATGACGTTATCATTGTGCGGGCACCAGTCAATGTCCAGCACAGGGGCAGTGTGCCCAGTGACCAGTGGGTAGTTCTTATCCACTCGCCCTGTCTGCGGGGGTCAGAGAAGGAGACGTGGGGCTATTCTCCTGTGTGTTTTCAGGGGGTTGGGAGTGGACCTGTTTACATCTCAACTGTCTGTTATTTGTTGCTCTTTGCAGAACTCACCCCCCTCTCTGCTCCTCCAAATCCAGCCACCCTGCTTCCTCTACGTCCCTGAAGGCAGAGTCTAAGTCATTTACTATCAAGGCATCAGATGCAGAGAGGTAAGATAACTTAACCAAGGACGCACAGCAAGATACTGCTAGAGCCAAGACTTAACTTCTCAGCCCAGTGCTCTTCCAAGGACACCTCCTTGGAGGATGCTGCTCTTCCGCCTGTCCCCTGCAACTGAAATATCTCTGGGAAACCCCTGCTGGACTAGGTCAAGGTAAGGTTATATGCAGTGCAGGGCTGCACAACTCCTTCCTAGCCTCACTGGGCAGATCTCTCCCTGGTCACTGGCTTTACCTTGGAACCACAAGCAGCAGGCATTCCTCGTGCCTGCTATCTCCCAACCTGAGCTGAGGCCCATCTATTTTTAATCTTTATGGTATGTTTGTGGGGGCTCTGAGGCCTTTGCAGGGGCTGGCATCGACCCAGACCAGGCAGCAGGGTAGAGGGGTGGCCGTGTGGCACTGGAATGGTGGTTGTACTGGGGGAGGGGGTGGCTCCCGCTGAAATTTGAGCCCTGGGGATGATGTCCTTGGATGGCGTCTGCATTGTCTTGGAGTGAGTCACTGGCTATTGTCAGGCCTCATCCTGACCTTGCCACCTGTGGGGCCTCCCCTAACAAGGTGTAGGGGCCAGAGTCCAGGTCAAGGTCATGCCTTGGAGTGGACAGCCTATGGGTAGGGATGGCTGAGGGGCTCAAGGCTACTCAGTAAAGGTGATGGTCATTGCTTGGCCCCCATCCCTGGAGTATTGGAGGCTCTGGCCTGATATGTCATGTCCCCCTGCCTTTTGCTCTCGTTCTACCTCACTGCAAGAACCAGAATGGGGGAGGCAGCCAAGGATTCTGGATAGAGCGTGACCCTGTCCTCACTGTGCTGCTCTGGGGTGTGATTTAATCCAGTAGTCACCCTGGGCTGGGTACAAAGATCCAGAGGCCAAAAACACGAAGGGGTGTGGCATCAGGAGAATAGGAACAGAATCTGGCCAGGTCCTGACTCCACTGCTTCCCAACTATCCATCACCCCCTCCAGGTCCCTGCTGGGTACAGCGTGCTGCAAGGAGAAGGGATGGGCTGTGCGTGGGTGGGGACCAATGTGATGCTGCTCTTCTGGGAGGGGTGAGGGAGCCTCCCAATCGGTCCCAAGCGATTGGGGGGTAGGGAGCAGTCAGTCTGCCTAGACTGCCCTGCCGAATTAGGAATGGAGCTAAGTGAGGACACAGGCTGCTGTCTGGAGTCCCCAGGAGTCGCAGTCAGTGTCCACCTGCTTCCTTCCCCTCATCCCTCACCTTGGCCAGAGGCAGGACGATGAAGGCACCTCCACCCCCAGCCTCCACAATAATGGCCAGGAATTTGGGGTTGACGGCACAGAAGGAGCTGTCCCATGTGACCTTGGACACACGGATGTCCTCGTAGGCCTGGTCAGCCTTTGCCGCCTGTCCAAACACGTGGCGGAACTTGCTCTGCCGAACCACGCGCCGGCTCATAGCTGGGGGCAGAGATGGAGGATCTCAGTGCCCAGAAATGCTTTTGGTCCTTAGTCCTGTAGCTGTGGGAGGGAGGAAGAGTTGGGGGAGTGGCAAGTGAGAAGGATTATCTTGCCAAGAGTCAGGTATAAATTAATATAGAGTCTGGTCCTAGAAGCAAGGCGTTGTCTTCAAGGTGATTAATATATGGGAAAGTTCTTCGCTGAGTTCGAGGGACTTGGATTTGGGACCTGACTTCTCCTTAGAAAACCGCCCCTTAGACTGGTGTCGAGAGTGGAAGCTTCCTGGACGTTCAAGCGGTTTTGGGAGGAGCCGCAACACCAGGCTGCCCTCCGGCTGCCAGCCTTGGGTGAGCGTCTCTTCACCGAAGTGGTTTATCTCCCAGAGGTGTCTTGTCCAGAATCAGAGACTTCCTGGCTTAAGGCCATTTGTGGGGCTAGGACTGCAGCCCCCCAAGATGCTAAGCTCAGCCTCTCTGGCATAGGTAAGGCGAATGGGGTTTGCCTTTTCCTAAAAACTTGCCAAGGAGGAGTCCCTCCTGTCGGCTAACCCGAGTCCTTCCGGCTCCGCTGTCATCAGTCTCCTCCCATGCTGTCGGGGGTGGGGTGGGAGTGGGAGGAACGCGCTGTAAGGTGGATCTCTTCCCACCCCTCTCCACCGGCTTCTCTAAGAGGCCCTCACCGCGGTGTTCTGGCTTTTGCCCGCCATACTTCAGTCCCACTTCTCCTCTGGGTCCTCTCTCCTGCTAAACTCTTGCGTGTGGGGTCCTCGAACCCCTCCCCGGGCCAGAGCCGGATTTTCACAAGTGGAATGGGGAGGGTGAGGTGCCTCTTCTCCCGCTAGGAGCTTGCACTCAGCTCTTCCCCAGGGACCACACCGAGCGCTTCCCAAGCGGCAGCCACTGCCTCCTGCCCCTCCCCAGCACCGGGCATCCTTGTGCCCTTCAAGCCGCTCCTGCAGCCCCCGGCCTCAGGCCTGGCCTCCGGCCTCCTCGCACCCTACTCCGGCCCCGGCACTGCGTTCTTGCGAGACGAGGTGTCTGCGCCCTGCGGGCGCGCGGGCCGCTGTCCGGCCAAATATAGACGCCAAGTCCGCCCCGCCCGGGACCGAATTTGGTGGCTGGGGGGGTGAGAGGCGCAGACCTCTGTTCCCTCCAGACCCCCTGCCTGATCCACTGGCTGCGGCGGCGGCGGGGAGTACCTGGTCCTGGGCCGGCCGAGGGGCGCTCACGCTGCGACTTCTCTGCGGAGGGGCTTGGGGGTGCGCTGGAGGCCGAGGGAGGCGTCAGGGCGCCGGAACTGCCTCTCTGGGTGTCCGCGGCGTCTGGGGCCCGGGCGTTTGGCTGCGCGATCCGGCCGCTGCCTGCGACTCCCGGGGCCGGGCGCCGCTGCAGTCCCAGCTGCCGCTGCCATCAACCTGCGGAGGCGGGGCCTCCGGCGGGGCGGGGCCACACGGGCCCCGCCCCTCCAGCGGCGGGAAAGTCGAGCGCTGCGCGACCCGTCCGGCGGCCTGGGAGAAGCGTCCAAAGTAATTTTGCGTGTGTGCTCGCGGGCTGTGCGCGATCCTTCTCCGGGCTCCGCGCCTACCGGGTGAACTGGGGAGGCCCAGGTTCCCAGACCTTAGAGCTGGGCGCTAAGAGAGCGAGCCTACGAAGGGCCGCGCTTTCCTTAGAGCCGGCGGCCGCGCGAGATCAGATGCCTTCGCGCTGCATTCCTGCTACAATCACACTCCCAATTTAGCCAGTCCCGGCAAGCCGGGGCTGTGGGACTGCACGTCCGCACACCACCGAGGAGAGGGCCCGAGGATGCTCTGGGGACCCTTGGATGAGGGCCTAGTTTGGCCCAGGGCAGCTGGGAGAGTACATGACAGGGGGCTGTGAATGTTATTGTTACTGTGTTACTAACACACTGTCACTGTACTAGGCATTTCATCTCTTTAGGGAGGATTGCACGGAACAGGGCAGAAAGCAACCTAAAAACCGGGAGTAGGAATGAAGGAGAAAAACGTGAACACCAGGTTCAAGGAAAAGCAGCTGGCCCAGGTCTTTGGCTAGATTTTAGACACTGAACCTGACTCCACAAGTCTTGAGGGCCTTGTTTGTATTGGTGTTCTACTGTGTTCTGGGGAAGCCCCTACCCACTCCCACTTCCTTCAAGACCCTTGGATCTGAGTATTGACCAAGATTAAGTAAAAGTTAAAGTCGCTCAGTGGTGTCCTACTCTGCTACCCCACCGACTATACAGTCCATGGAATTCTCCAGGCCAGAATATTGGAGTGGGTAGCCTTACCCTTCTCTAGGGGATCTTCCCAACCCAGAGATGGAACCCAGCTCTCCCTCAGCGCAGGCAGATTTTTTACCAGCTGAGCCACAAGGGAAGCCCAAGAATACTGGAGTGGGTATCCTATTTCTTCTCCAGCTGGTCCTCCCCACCTAGGAATCAACCTGGGGTCTCCTGCCTTGCAGGCAGATTCTTTACCAGCTGAGTTAGACCAAGATTAAGGAAGAGATAAAAAGAAATCTTATCAAAATGCAGCCAGTGAAAACAACTAGTCCCTTTAGCTGCTGTCTAAGTAGTCTCACCCGCTGCCTGGATTTCTTCCTTTAGATCATAAGGCCCTGGAGGGCACAGGGGACCTGTGATTATTTCTCATTCTCCAGGAGTGAGTGAGTGAAGTCGCTCAGTCGTGTCCAACTCTTTGCGATGCCATGGACTGTAGCCTACCAGGCTCCTCCATCCATGGGATTTTCCAAGCAAGAATACTGGAGTGGATTGCCATTTCCTTCTCCAGAAGATCTTCGCGACCCAGGGATTGAACCCGGGTCTCCCGCATTGTAGGCAGACGCTTGACCGTCTGAGCCACCAGGGAAGGTTTTCTCTGGACACACTTGGAAATCAATGGAACACGGCCTTCCAGAAGGTAGAGGTCAGCATTAGGGGTAAAGGGAGGGAAGGAAGGTGGTGGGAACCTCAAACGGATCACAAGGCTTGTTTCTCAAGAGTCCAAGTATTCAGTGGCTTGTGGGCCAGACACTTGTTATGGGTACTTCAGGAATAATTATGGCATTGGAGTGGGGCATAAGAGTAGATGAAGAATCTCTCTTTTACCTAAAGATTCCGGGGACATGATTAGGAGGAAAAGACCTTAGTGACTCAGTAGCTCATTAATAACAATAGCTACACACTGTATTACAGACATTATACTTATTAATTCCATTCTGATAATAGTCTTCTGAGATGGGTACTATTATTACCCCTGTTTTACAGATGAGGAAACTGAGGCAGGAAACTGAGATAGTAGAGCTGAGATTCTTACCCAAGGGTTCTGGTGTCTGGGGTTCTGGTGTCTGGGTCAAGCTTTTCAGCACCATGCATTTCTTTCTTTTTTTTTTTTTTAGTTTTTATTTATTTTTGGCTCTGCTGGGTCCTCGTTGCTGCTTGGGCTTTTCTCTAGTTGTGGCAAGTCAGGGCCTCTCTAGTTGCAGTGTGCGGGCTTCTCATTGCAGTGGCTTCTCATTGTGGAGGACGGTATCCAGGGTGTGCAGCCTCCGTAGTTGCAGCTCCCGGACTCTCGAGCACAGGCTCAGTAGTTGTGGTGCACAGGCTTAGTTGCTCTGCAGCATGTGAGATCTTCGGGGATCAGGGATCGAACCTATGTCTCCTGCATTGGCAGGTGGATTCTTTACCATTGAACCACCAGGAAAGTCCAGCACCATGCATTTCTGTCTCTCCTTGAAGGAGTTGCCACTTTGTCTCACAAATGCTGATACCAAGAGTTACGTTTTGTGGCACAGAGGAAAGGACACATGGACTAACTACAAAACTGGAGTTTCAGCTATTGCTGAGTCACCCTATTTTTGCAGCTCTCTTGAGCTGTAAAATGAAGAGGACTGGGTTAGGTTCTTTCCAACTCTGCACCACTTGTTGGCAGAAAAGCTATGTGACACGCTGTCTCCTACCTTGAACTGGCATTTTTTTTTCGTCTCTCCTCTCCTTTTCTCATCTTTAAAGAGAGCCAGGCCCTCCATTCTAGAGGGAAGGGTCTGGAACTAGGAAGCAGGAATCCTTCAATCCATTCTGCCTTCACTTGGGAAGTGGGGGAGGTGTGCTCTCCAGCTACAGGAGCAGGAACTCAGGTATTGTTTAGAGCTGGTAAGGCTCAGCCCTGCCCTCTAGCCTTCTGGCTGCCAAGGCCTGGCAGAGCCATGGGTGGGTGGAGCTAAGGCACAAAGAATCAATCAGTGGAAGAAGCTCCTTGGATTTGGTGCTTTCCCTTGCTGTTATCCATCTAAACTGCAATCCGTAGGAGACAGGCATAGACTTCACCTTTCATAAAGCCATTTTTTCTGGAAGAGATGGCCTGGGAACTTAAGAGAGATGATTTGGTCCATTTGCTTTGGCTAGAAAGCCACGACTGATCAGGGTTAGGGACTCTAGGCACCCCTGGAATATTTTGTGAAATGACCTTGCCTTCATCATCAGGCACTCTGGCACTCAAGCCAGACACCAGTGGTGTGCTTATCTCATTTGATATGGATGATTCATATCATCCATAAAACACTGACAAGGCAGTGTTTTCTCTGGAAATGGAGCTTTCCCTAGATGGTAGCACTGCTTTATATGTGATGAACGGCATCACTATATATCTCATGATGGGTCTGTTGGAGGGGTGGTAGAAGTGGAGACCCCTTCCCTCCCAGCCTGGTTTGTTGTGGATTTTTGGGCTGTGCCGTACAGCTTGTGGGATCTTAGTTTCCTGACCAGGGATTGAACCTTCGCCCTCTGCAGTGAAAGCTCAGAGTCCTAACCACTGGACCACCAGGGAATTCATCCCCTCTCCGCCCTGTCCCCAACCTGTTTTATTAGAGAGCTGCTCCTTGGCCGCATCTCTCTTCCTCTACCATTGAACTAAGTGCTTCTTTTCTAATGGTGGGAGAGGGTTAAAGCTTTTACTTCGGAAAGTCATGTCCCATTTCTAGAGCCCTTTCCGTGAGCTGAGAGGCCTTGTGCTGAACAAAAGCTTGTGAACTCTCATTCATGTCCAGAGAGGTCACCTACCCGAGAAATCCAGTCTGTGCTGGGTCAGGTCATGGCAGCTGTCTCGAACAGACACTTTGTCCCACAGATGGTGGAGGAATTTTGGTTCCTTTGCTTATTCATTCTAATATTCAGGTGGTGGCTTTGACAAGAGCCTCTTTGACCAGGCAAGTTCCCAGCCTGGTCACTTAATTGGAGCTGTGCTATCTGGAATAACCTTTGGTGACCCCGTTTCCCATCTAGTCCGTTTTGTGAGAGGTAGAAAGTTATATTTCCCCCCAGTGCTCAGCTATCTCACAGGGAGGGAGGGCAGTCAGTGAGAATTGATTCATGTTTACCATCAGTGTTCTCTTCCAATCCCCCCACCTTCTCACTACCCTCCTCTTTTGTTGCACTTGATTGAGTACACGCTTCATCTTCAAAATAAAAATTTATTCAATCTGTAACAAGAACATTGAATCTGCACATTTGCGCACAAGTTCACATTTAAAAACAGCGGAGCACATCAATAATAAAAAATCTATGATACAAGTGGAACATCCCAACCAGCAGGAAGATTAAGGAAGGAGATGAGACCACTCTTTATATTCTGCTTCAAATGCCTCAAAAAGGTCCCAGAGATTCCAGGGAGCACCTGCTTTATTTAATAAAACGTGAGCATAAAAGTTTGGGGTTGCCTGGGCAAAAGGTTAACAGTCAGTGGGAGGGGCTTTGGGGACTTGTTTTCTACCTTTACAACAAGTCCTACAAAATAAAGTAGAAAGGAAAAAAGAAAAGGCACCTTAAGCTATGCCAAGCAAACCAAATTCCAATAGAACATAAAAACCAAACAATTCCCTGTGGACTTACTGATGGGGAAACATTTCAGGGCCAGTTAGTTACCCAGCTTTCAGACTGAGTCATCAGCTTGAGTTAAGCCCCGGGTACAGGAGGCCACCGCTAGTGCTGATGTGGGGACACAGATGGTGGCACTAGTCACATACCTCTTGGGGCATCTTCAAGCTGATGAGGGATGATTCCAGTTTAGAAATTCTGTCCCAGATCTCTGGGGCACTGAGAAAATGAGGCTGGTTCTCTTTTCACAGCAAGAGCCAGGCCCAGTCACCCTCCGCTTCCAGGCTGGAAAAGTACAAAAGCGTCTTGTAATAGCCCTCCATGGCATCCAGGGACCCCAAGCCCTGGAGAAGGATGGGGAGTGTGCAGCTGCCTGCTCTGGTGGCAGGCAAGTTTTCATTCTAATATGGCCCCTGGATGAGTTGAGGCAGCAAATACATTTATGCCTAATACATGCCTTGATCTTTTAGTTTGGAAGGGAAAACGAATCCAAGATGCTCTTAAGTTGGATTGGTGCTGAAAGAGCTAAGATTTCATCTCATCTACCATCAAAAAGCAAAACAAAGTTGAAAAACAACACTAGCCATTCACCATTACAACCATCACTATAAGACCACACCATCACTGAGGAAAGACGACTGTTTCCATACAGCGTGTTGGATGGGAGTGCACAGATGGAAATCAGCTCCAGGTTGTCCCCACTTCCCCATGAGGGCTGACCACAAGGGCCTTGCTCTGTGTGAGGATGGCTAGAGCGGGGTGCCTGGAGGAGGAGACTGAGCGGCCATCAAGATGGAGGAGACTGAGCGGCCATCAAGATGATGCTCGTTTTAATACTCACAATGTAAACAAAGTATCCACAGACAGTTGCTCAAAAAAGCCAAAGAATGGCTTTATTTTAAAAATTGAAAATGCCCTTGAAAATGACCCTTTTTGCATAATGCTTTCTTTGAGAGAGAACGCCCACCAACAAAAAAAAAAAAAAGAAAGAAAATCTTTACCAAACATGGCTAGATCACTTCAGAACTGAAATCCTCAGCTGGAACAAATGAAGATTCTTGTGAGCTGCTACTCTCAGCAACTTCAGGTCTATCTGAGAGCATCTGTCTGGGGCCTTTTAGCAAGAGGGGGAACCCCGGAGCCTGGGTGGTCATCCTCAGACTGTCCCTGGGGCTCTTGGTAGTTCCCAAAACAAGAAAGAGGAAATGCCAGCTGGGATACAGGTACAGAATCAGGAGAATGCTAGATAAAGAGCCTGAAATGTTAGGAATGATCCCAAACATTCAGGATCTGAAAGGCCATCCAAATGAGGTGAGATGAGGATGACTACAGTACAGTCCTATGTCTGCTAGAGCACACACCATGCCTAAGTTGTTTCTAAAATAAAAAAAGGTGGGGGGGGGGGCTTCTCCTTCCTGCTGACCAGAGAGCCATCCAGATTACAGCTCAAAATCTGTGTGCCCTGGGGCTTTCACCCCATGCACCACAGTGTGACTTTTTAGACACACACACACACACACACACACAATCACACAGCTCTCCAGAATAAATTCTGAGTCAGGCTGTGGTAGTTTTCAAAGTAAAGAGAACAAGAGGCCCTGGCAAGAGGTCAGAACTTCTACTCGTCCATCAATCGGCCAGACCTGCTGCTCTGGGCTTGGGTTCTCCATGAACAGAAAAGGGAAACAGGTCACCCGAGATTATCAGACTGTTTGAAGAGAATACAGTTTGGAAAGCTGTTGATAGGCTATCATGGACTTCCCCTGGACAGAACTCAGCTACGTAAATAGCACAAGAACACTCAGTTGTGGGAGTCTGAGGGCTGGCAAAACCCCGTGGCATGCTTGAATTACAGACCTCATGGAGAGAATGTTTCTCTAGGCAGGTAAATTAAATGATTAAAAATATATAATAAGTATTCAAAAAAAAAGGCAAAGCAAGACCCTTTTTTTCTTCACAGCGTTTGAGGGTTCCCCCCCACCCCCTGCATCTCTGATGCTAGTTTAATGCAGTGAGCGTGAGCATTAAATACCACGGCGAGAACAGTGCAATACTGTCAACCCCCAGGTGTGTACTTCTTAGTATGAGGGATGTCACCATCTCAGGGGATTCACTGAGTGGACATTACTCTCTTTACCTCCCTGCCAAGCCTCCTTCCCAACCCTGCACAGTTTCCTGTCCCTTCCCCATCATCTTGGTGATGGAACTGCCTCAACCAGACTGGGCAGTGCCAATGGGTGAGCCCTGGAAATTCATAACCCTGTCTTGCAAGTCTCCTCACACTGGAACATGCCGCCTAACAGAACACTTTACAACACATGAAATATCCAGGAGTCACAAAACTGTGTGGATGATACATCTGAACATTGAAGAAACTATTTAGGAACAGCACAGGTACCTATCATTACCACACCTTAAAAAACACTTAGAACAGGAGGTTTCTGAAAAACACTTAGAACAGGAGGTTTCTGTCTAATTGGCCTCCTGGCAGGGACATCAGACCCAACCATGGCCCCCTCATGGCAACTGGACTCACAGCTCGTCTTGAGCACCTAGGAGTGGCCTCAGTCCACCTCTGCTGTCTCCTTTGGGTCACCCTGTCCTCACCAAGCTCTGGCCTCTGACATCACACTCACAGCCTGTGAATCTGTCTTCTCTCAGTGCTGTGATGAATCCCAAACCTAAACCTCAGCTCTGTGCTTGGTCTGTCTCTCAGCGATGTGGCCATCGACCAAAGCACACAGGAAGCCAATCTTCAGACCTCTTTGGTTCTGAGGAGCTGCAGAGGGCGTTCCTTCCGGGCTAAACATGTGTTCTGTAAGAAGCTGAAACGGTATTTACGGCAGGTGCTCCTGCATTAAGGACCTCCACAATAGCAGCAAAGCAACAGCATCCTAAATGTGGTCACTAGGGGCGCCTGCCCTTGCCGAGGCCTCCCTGTGACCCTTCAGCCCAATCCATTAGGGGCTTCTGACCTGGGCAGCAGTAACAACCACATATGCTCTCTGGCTCTGATTCAGCCACTGGCAGACAATGTTCTGGGATTTCAGTCTCAAAGAGGCATCAGCCTTCAGTCACGCTGCAATCTAATTGGGAGCCTTTGGGGGTTTCTCTGAGGAGGAAGTTACTAATGCATAATTTGGCAGGAGCTGGTGATTAGAAGTCTCCATTTAAATTACACCACTGTCCATATATACTCTGCAGATTCCTACCAACACCCATGAGTTTTATTTCTGTGGTATCTGTAGGTCTTCCAGTTGCAGCTTTACTCCTTCTTAAAATAGATAAATCAAAAAGACCCTATAACATTAACAACAAAACAATGTAAGAAAGTGACGCCATTATGTACATAAATACTGTATATAAACTAGAGAAATGACAAATCTTCCAGGAAAAGAAAAAAAGAAAACTTATGTCAAGTGTTAACAGTGATAATATTAAAAAGTTTGCATTCGATGGAGGTTATACATAGGTCATGTAACAATTCAAATATCTTATGAAATTAAAAAAAATTAGGCAGCGTTGGGAGAAACAGCATGAGGGAGGGAAATAAATTGGAAAAAATATGGCCATAAAACTCAAAAGGCCCACAGAAGTATTCAAGTAACAAAAGGGTTAAAACCCTGCATCTGTACTCATTTCAGAACACAAACACACTTTCAGTTGCTGTTTTTCAAACTTGTCCCTATCGTGTTTTCATGTTTTCTCATTGGGAGGACGCTGCAGAGCACTTTTCTGGGGGGTAGGGGGGAAGAGGGGGTGGGGAAGAAAGGGTAGGATGACCACCTTAGTGGAGACCATTCACCGGAAGATACTGGGCGTGACCACCTCTCCACCCCCAATTTCACCTCCTCCTATTCGGCTTCCCTCTACAGAGGACCTCATGGATTTCATTTGGAGGTCATTTTAAATTTAATAAAATTATTTGCTTGGGGTGAAAAAAAGAGTATTTGCTTGATAGGTTTACAAAGCCAGCCGTTATCATGCCTTTTTGTAATGATACACTCTGGAGACCAGAAGAGATGAATTCTGGAAGACCCTCTTTGAAAGCAAAGCAGAGTCTGCCCACCTCAGGAACTCCCAATGGGCTGGGCTGAGAACACGCTGACATCAGGCTGCCCCCTTCAGCAAATCTGAATCCAATGCATCAGGTCTGGAGACCAAACCCTCATCACACAGGCCTAAGGCAGCGCTTCCAATTTCCAGCTTCATCCCCACCCTCCCCATCTGCTTCCTTCCTCAATCAAGCCAGCAGGCCTTTCCTCCGAGGGCAAAATGAGGAGCAGGTGGCAGCTGATTGAAAAACAGCACTCTGCCTTGGATAAAGGTGTTCTTTGAAAATGAGTATTTTTTTGAGGTTTGAATTTTCCAAAAAAAAAAAATTTTTTTGACAAAATGGTCTTGCCGTCCAAATCAAACTCTTTCTCTCACACACACACACGGGGTAGGGGTGGGGAACAAACCCTGCATGCGCCAGGAACAGTAAAATGACCAAAATATTATAAAATTAACCAATAAAGTGCATGGTTCCTTACGTATTACACCTGCCCCTTTTACAAACATTTCTTTCAGAAAGTCAAGTGTACAGGCTCAGAATCACATGGTGTTATAGAAGGGGTTGGTTGTCCGTTTTTTATCGTTCGCTTTCCCCAGTCTCCTAAGGGGGTGAGTTCTGCCGTGCTGCTGTCGGGGCGCCACAGCCAGCCCTGGGGCTGGGCCGGCGTCCTGCAGTCCCCGGGCCGGCACCGAAGGCAGGCCTCCTTCCAAACCAGTCACTTCAGGCCCTGCGCTGGGGCGCAGACACTGCTGACTGTAACCAAACGCCCTGGCGTACTGCGCCAGGGGCCTCTCCACTGGCCTGCTCTGTGCGACACGCCCTGTGGTTCTGAGTTGCTCTATGAAATACTTGGTGGGCTCTCGGTTCTGGGCAGTGTCTGGGTTTTCTGGGGGCTCCTGGGCCTCCACGCCCGAGTCCGTTCTGAGGAAGGGCTGAAGCAGTTTGAGATGAGGGGACTCAGAGGAGACAGGCTCCCTCTCTGGTGAACAGTCTTTACAGAGGTCCAAGTAACCTAACTTGGCGAGGGAAGCTGAACGCCTCATTTGGGGTGGCTTGGGGGGCCCTACCTGGGAAGTCGCTCGGGACTCGATTTCTTTAGTGCGTCCCTTCCCCACCCTGGGGCTCTGACTGAGGCTCTCTATACTGTCTGTACTGGAGCTGTGTGGGAGTTGATGGGCTACAGGTGTTGGGTCCAGTTTTGCCGGTTGCTCCCCGGTATTATCACCCAGTTGGCTGATTAAATGTGGGTCTTCGCTACTGAACTGGGAGCCCTGGTATGGCACTTCACCGCCCCTGGAGAGGGGGCCCTCCTGACTTTCTTCCCAGCCTTCCTGCTCCGTGGAGGGGGCGCTGTCTGTGGTGCTGCTCTGTCCCGTGAAGCCTTCCAGGTGAACCACTGTCTGGGGGCACAGGTGATCGGGGCTGGCGCCACATGGCTGGGTCGTGGGACTGACATCAGGCGCGGCTGGGCTGCTCAAGGTGGGGGGCAGGTCGACTGGCCTGCTGTGCTCAAGCTGGGGAGAGGAAGAATGAGGTGGAGGTAGCACTCTGGGGCGCAGAGGAGCCTGGTCAGGGCTTAGCGTCCGGTTCAGATTTTCATCCAGAGCACAGAGGACAGTGAGGGCCTCTTCCACCTTCACAGTCCTCAGTCCCTGCGCCCCACTCTTCTCACTGCTGGCTCTTTCCCGCCCTGGCCTGGGATCAGGTGATGGCGCTGTGTAGGTGTATTCAATGATTTCTATCTTCTTGGGAAAGGGAGCAGGGGCTGCTGGTGTCTCGGGCCCCGGGCCTGAGACCACAGCCCTCGGCTCCCGCAGGACGCCTTCGTGCCGCGGGCCATCCTGAGGTGCTGGCGCCGGGTGAGACTCCCGCAGCTCAGGGGCCGGGACGACGGCAAGCTGCTCAGGACGCGGTAAAGAGCCAGCCTCAGACCCACCGCATCGCCCTTGGGCCCTGCTAGTCTCTGGCTCTCTGGGGACATGTGACAGTTCTGGGGCGGCTTCGTCACTCTTCCCTTTCGCTGCCGGCTCTGCCACCAAGGAATCGTTCCTGGAGTTCTTGCGAGAGGACAGAGAGGCCCCCGCGGGCGCAGCACCGAGGTGCTCCTGTTCTTGCCGCAGGCGCTCCTCGAACTCCAAGGTGGCTCGCCTCACGGACCCGGGGTACCACTTGGCACCCGGGGGCATCCCGGGGCCCCAGAGCTCTTGTTCCCCCTCCGCTGGTTCTTCTTCTTCCACCTCTGCAGTGGAGTGTGCCCCTGGGCACCCCTCGGGGTGCCCCTTCCCTGAGTCTTTGGCTGGTTCAGACTGGGCTGAGCAGGAACCTTCACTCTGCTCCAGGTTTCCAGGCCTGCTCGTGGCGGCCTGGGCCCTCTCCAGGGGCAGCTCGTGGGTGATGTGCTTCTTTGGTGTGTGGCATGGGTTGGACGGCACGTCTCCTTTCACCTGAATCTGTCCGACTCCTTGACTGATGGATTCAATCTCAGTGACGATTTCTTTGACTGACATCGCATTTTCTGAGTGCGGCTGCATGAAGATGTCTGGGCTGACCTGTTCTGAGATTGCCTAAGAAGAGGAAACAGTGAGAAGGTTACTGGAGTAAACTGGAGTCTGACTGAAAGAGCCAGACTGTTTGCTCACTAGGTTCTGATCCAGGAGAACCTTCTGGCTCTGAGGACACAAATCACAGGGTGCCTGGAACTGTCCTCTGCCTGGGGTTACACTCTATTTCATGGTACAAGAAAAGAACAGATTCATCAAAGGCAGAGATACAAAATTAGTCATACATGTCACTGTCTATTAAACTTTTGTTCTTTTTGCTCTAATAGGATTCTGTTCCAATAGCTTGCTCCAAGAGTAAACAGTAAGTAGCCCTGGAGGCTCCTATAATCCTTATTTTCTGAAGACCCTGAGCCTTCTAGATTCAGGCCATCCTGGGGTAAACGAAACTTTTCCTCTCTAGCCTATCGACTTCTGGCCTAACCTGGTTCCAGGGGAAGAGTTCCACTGAAGGGCTCAGTGGCCGCCTTAAATATGCCCAGAGTCCGGGGGAGATGGATGTCTCACTTGGAGTCTCACTGCTCTCTTCTGTCCTCTGTTTCGCCAGCTCTCATCCACTCCTCCCCCTGCTTCTCCCAGTGGCCGCATCCCAGCACGTGAGCACAATTCCTATGTTTCATGGGGCTCCTTCCGTGGCTGATGCAAACACAGGCCTGAGAAACTATGACTCTGACATTTTACTGTTCCACCAGTTACAAGTCCCCAGATGGGTTTAGAACAAAGCCAAAGAATACTGGCCAATGCGAAATCAAGCCCTACTGTAAAACACTTAAGAATCTGAGAATTCAGAGATGGCCCTTGGACATCTCTTAAAGCAACATCATTCTCAGCCTCAATCTACTTTGGTAGCATTTTTGTAATTTCAAAGTTCAATATTTCCCTAGGAATTGTTCTGGTCTTTCTCCTTCAAAAGAGTCAGCTAGTACAGACTAGCAAGGTCAGTTATGCCTTTGGGAGAAATGTGCTGGGACATCAGGCAGAGGCCAACTTGCCAAGGCTGGGAGAGAAGCCGCAGTGGGCCCAGTGTGGTGCAAGGCTATGGACAGAGTGCTCATATGACCAGCAACTTTGCAGAAAAGCTATTTCTGTCAGAGCCGCTGCATCCATTAGTCCAAAGGCGAGCTTGGGCATTCTGGTCTCCCGGTAGAAATAAAACAGAGGCATAACTTTGGGGGAGAAGAGAAGACAGAAGCAGAGGCAACAACTGCCCTGGGTTGGTTAAGAAGAGAGAAGACGGATGAGGAGTACACGAGGTGGTAAATGTAAGTAGGCAGACATCAGGAGATGTCAAGAGTTCAGTCGGCTCCACTGAAATCATTAAAGGACTTCGTTTATGTTAAAGCAAATTGATCACCATTTACTTCCCATTGTCAATCTAAGATACCGTTGTTTTTAAGATACCACCCAATTTCAAAAGTCAAAATGAATATAATAATTAATGTGAGTCTTAGAACTGTTGACACATAGTAACTGTTCCCCTGCTCTGAGATGGCTCACAGGAACTCATGAGAATTCATGAGCCCCTGAGAAGAATCTTGGGATTCTGTCTGCTCTTAAATTATTTCCTCAAACCATCTCTCAATTCTCGAATACCATAGGGTGGCAAGATGAGGAACAATTCAGACACATTTTCAATACCAAGAACTCATCATGGGAATTAGCTGCTACTCCAACCACTATTAACATATGTCCAGTCTTTGAATTTTCTGAGGCAGAAAGAATTTCCCCAAACAAATCCATCCTCTCAGAGAGACGGGTCTCACTCAGGCAGCAGGCGAGTCCCTGGCACCTCCCTGCTGGTTGAGATTTGATCTGAACTGCAGAGGCCCAGGAGGGACCTCTCCTTGTTCTGGGAGGACATGCATTTTGGCTAATCCCTTCTTCCCTCATCTCCTTTCAGAAATGCTTCCAATGACACCAAAAGCCTAGAAAGATAAATTCCTCGAAATGCCACTGATTTAAAAAATATGACTATATTTAAACCCTAAGTTTTCCCAGAAAGTCCTAGCCAGACTGTCTCTCCCATATCACCTTCTTCATTCTTTATCAACATCAAAAATAGAGTGAACAGAGCAGAATTCCAAATATTTGTCTTCACAGAGAACATCAGTAGGGACAGAACCATAGAGAGAGTCTTTACCTTTGACTGCTCCTCATCTACTGAAGACTCCTCAGATGCGTGGGGAGTATTACTCAATGAGCTGCTTCTCTGGTCATCAGTGGTCGCTTCGGAAGGGGCTGCTTCCACCACTGACAGTCGACAGCTCTCGCTCCTTCCTCCACCCATTTCCTCCATCCTTGAATGAGAAAAAGATCGGGACCGGGTTTCTTGGGAAAGCTCTACAAACTTCTCCAGTGCGCTGAAAAAGTCAATGCGATCTCCACTGAAATCTGAGCCTGCGGCCTGGCAGCTGGGCTGGGGGCTCGGTGACTCAGGATCCGGGGACATGGGCAGATCTTTCAGGCGGGATGTCAGCTCTTCCATGGGCAGCAGATGGACGTTCATGTCTGCTTTCAGCGCATCCGTCTCCAGATCTTCCACGGTTAAGTCTGGGAATTTGTGGGCCATTTCTGGGTCCTGTCCGGGTTGGATTAAGGCTTTGGATGCATGGCAGTTGTCAAGAGGGAATTTCGGTTCATTTAGACAACACCCTGATGAGCATCCATTGATGTCATTTAGGTTTAATTCATCTTCAATCTGTCCGGCATGAAATTCCCGAGAAGTAAACTCCAAGCAGATCATTCTTTCTTTGGTGCACAGGCCTTTCTGATTCTCATCCTTCGGGACCACGTGTTCCACAAAGACGGGAGGGATGGGCGCGTGGCTCTCCATGGTCTTCACCTCAGCAATCTGGTCTGCTGAGGTGGTGATCTCCTTTTTGTTGAGTTCCAGTCCTGGTTTGCAGATGGGTTCGTGGTGGTCCGAGAGGTCACTATCTGAATGCGATCTCCAGAGTTTGTTGTGCCGCTGTTTGCTGTGGAGGACACACATAGGAAATGCCTTACTCTGAGTTGTGGAAGCAATCAATACCCTCCCAGGAAACCGCTCTCACAGAAACGTAAATCTTATCCTGCAAGATGCTCTGTTAATGCCCAGTAGGAGTAGGCAATCAACAGTTGAAAAGAGGCTCAATGTCACTAGTAGCAAACAACAAAAACAAAGCAAAACAACAAAAAAAACAAATGAATATGAGATCTGACTTTTTACGACTGGACTTACAAGAGCTAAGATGGTTGTTAACAGTCAGTGTTGATGATGGTTTGGCCAAACTAACACTCTCATGATACAGGGTTGGTAGGAGTGTGAACTGTAGAATTTCAAAGAATAAAATCTGGCAATAGCTCTCAAAATTTAACCCTTTCACCAGCAACTCTCCCTTTAAAATTTTTGAGAAATACTACTACATAAGTGCACAAAGCTATATATATATATATATATATGGATGTTTACTCTAACACTATGGCATCAAAAAAATTTAAATTACAGTCCATACACTTAACATGCTATGAGGCTATTAGAAACAGTCAGTATATCAATGGAATGATGTCCAAGGTGTATTATTCAGTGAAAAGCATGTTGAACATGCTTGGAACAGTTAGTTCCCATGTCAGAATAAATGTAGGAAAATATCTGGAGGAGCATCATTAAACTGGTAACAGTGTTTATTTTGAGGAAGGCAGGGCTTTCACTTTGGGGGAGGGCTTTACATTCTACACTCTGTAGTATGTCTATAATTTGTGAATTAAAAATGAGCATGTTTAGTATTAATAACTGGGGGGAAAAACTAAAACAAAACCGCATCCAAATAAAACAAAGAGAAACACTTTAATGGAGCCCAGTATTAAGTCCTCATAACTGAGATAAAGAGTTGACAGAGGATTAATCACTGATGTGGAAGTGTGAGGAGGGTGACAGTCTCTTTTTTTTTTTTTTTTTTGACAGTCTTTCTTGAATTAGAAAGTGAAGATGAGGGAGGTCCCTAGTGTTGCAGTGGTTAAGACCCGGAGATTTCACTGTGGTGGCAAAGATGAGGCTAGTAAATCTGGAGATGAAGGATGGTAACAGAGAGGAAAAGGATAAGCATAAAATACAGGCCCCTTTCATAAGGATCTATAGATAAAAATCACCAAGCTAAAGTGACCCCGGAAAAGGAGGTAAGCCAAAAAGACTACACACATGTCCATCCTGTGGTTGATTTTGTGGAGAGGAGGTCTGATGAGATCTCATTTCAAAGCCCACTCTAATAAGGAAGCACAGTTCCCAAGGCTCCAATCAAAAAGAGGAAGGTGGCCCTGTGGCTGGCTCAGGGAACAGGTTGCCAAATGTGACATTTGGGGGTGCGGTTTCCACGACTCACAGGCAGATGAAGAGTTACTTCACCTCAGGGTGGAATGGGAAACAGCCCTGGACAGCTTACTCAGGGCTCGGGGCCATACCTGCCTCGGCCGCCTGTGAATCTCTGCCGAGTCATGCGCCTGCACTAATGTGAACCCCTGTTTGTTCTCAGCTCTGCACCTGCTCTCAGCTCCCCCGCCTGCTGGCTGCTTGGGTGGGGCTCTCCCTGACTCATCAGGCCTGCCCAGCAGAAGGGTGCTTTTCCGGGTAGGGAGCAGGTCAATTTATGAAGACAGCTATAATCAATTAGCTGGCTGTGAGGTAGGCTTTTCACCCTTTCCAAGGTGCACGAACTCCAGCCGCCCCTAGGAGGAGACAACATATCACACATCCCGAATGCGTTGAGTGGTGGTGGGCGGGGGCCAGCGAACTGGTTGGATAGGTGGGGCCTTTATGACCAAGGGATGGCCCTGTGCTTTAAAGTTTCTTCTTTTTAATAGAGACACCCTGTTTCTTGACCTAAATAATGACTGTGTTCTCCAGTTTCTGTTCTTCACCTATCATGAGGATGTTCAAACTGCTACCAAGTCCTCTCAGCTGCTATGGTGGGATGACTCCTGTGATGCAGACAGATCAGTGGGAAGGTTATCTCTGGGAGGAGCTGTTCTCACCCTGATAATAAACAACAGCTTATGTCACCAGGCAACTGTTATCTTCCTGGTCCTGAGAACCCTCCAAAGGATGTTTCTAAAGACCTGCTTCTAAGTCACTAACCAATGAGAGACGGATGTTATGCTAACAGGCACACACAGAGCCAGCCTCAGAGGAAGTGGCTGACATCATAGCTGCTTTACCCAGCAGGGATTTCCTTCCCTTCCTGCAGAAGATAATCATCAGAAAATACTGGGTCAGAGCTCTGGAATTATACTGACACCTCCTGTAAAGGAGAGAGAAAAATCCTGATCCAAAAATAAGTCTGATTCTGCCTTTTTCATTTTTTCAGTAGGACCTGCAGGGAGAGTGGCAGGCGGGTCTCTGGCAGTCAAGACACGGCCTTTGACGCGCTGTTATTCCAAGTGGCCCTTTCTCATCCTTCTCCCAGTGGAGAGGTCAGTAACCAGTGACCTGAATTTTGTGCTGATCACACCCTCCTTTTTCCTTATTGTGTCATCACATTTTGTTCTGACAATACATAGCTTGGTTTGCACGTTTTGAATTTTACATAAATGAAATCACACTGTGTATTCTTCTACAACTTTTTTGGGGGGCTTAACATGTTTTTAAGATTCATCGATGTAGCTGTAATTTTATAGTGTAGACAGTAAAGCCACAATTTATTTTTCTGCCCTGCAGACCAGCAGTTTTGGGCTACAAACGATTACAGACAACAATGCTATGGACATTCTTGTGCCTGGTGCAGTTTGGTTTCTCAAAGGTGTTTATATGTAGGAGGGGAAAAGGTAGGTCATAGTGCCCGTGTGCATTGTTAATTTTACTCAGTAACACCACACTGCCTCCCAGTGAAGCCTCTTCCCAAGCCAGTTTATTCTAATACTGCATCAGTAGGGATAGATATAAGACATTAGATCATACTTGTTACTTTAAACTGTTAGCATTTATACTCAGCTGATGCTCCAGGTAGGCAGTAAGTAAAAAGTGAGTAAGTGGCAGTTGCTCAGTTGTGTCCGACTCTTTGTGACCCCATGGACTATAGCCCGCCAGGCTCCTCTGTCCATGGAATTCTCAAGTAGGCAAGAATACTGCAGTGGGTAGTAGCCAGTCCCTTCTCCAGGGGATCTTCCTGACCGAGGGATCGAACCCAGGTCTCCCGCATTGCAGGCAGATTCCTTACCATCTGAGCCACCAGGGAAGCCCCAGGCAGCAAGTAAATAAGGTCAAAAAGAACTTCAGAGCTTGTTTGTGGCCTGTATGATGCAACCAAGTCTCAGGTTCTTTTCCTCCCTGAGTGGCCTCTGACCTGAATGTGGACTCACATAAACATACTGACACATGCGAAATGCCTGGGTCATTCTGGGTAGGAATTTGGCCTTTTACTTAGTAAATGAGCAAGAAGGAAATCTAAACGACAGGATGCATATGCTATCCCATTCTCTTGCCTCCACTTTTTCTTACTGTTAGTCGGTCAGTCGTGTCCAACTCTTTTGTGACCCCATGGACTGTAGCCCACCAGGCTCCCCTGTCCATGGGATTCTCCAGGCAAGAATACTGGAGTGGATTGCCATTTCCTACTCCAGGGAATTATTTCTTCCCGACCCAGGGATCGAATCTGCATCTCTTCTGTCTCCTGCATTGGCAGGCAGATTCTTCACCACTGTGCCACCTGGGAAGCCTCTTATTGTTACATGTTTGGTGAAGTACCAACTCTGAGAAAATTATGTACAGGAAAATACTGCTAAAAAAGGAGTATGGTCACTTCTCAGGGCATTAGGCAGTCTGCAGAGAATTGGAGAAGGAAGAGAGAAAGAAAGCATCAGCTGAGCATCGTCTGAGCTGTGCGTGGTCCTAAATGCTCTAAGATTGTTTCACTGAAATGCTATTAAGAAAATCCTTTAAACTGGACTTGCGTTGGCTGTCAGCTGGCCAGGAATCCCTGTTCTCTCTTTCTCAGCTTCCCTCCTGCTGGCTGACCATTGTGTGCCAGCTAACTAGACTAATGTCTCCACCAGCAAAGACAGCTCTATCTCCTCTGGTCCTGGTGACAGGGACATTCAAAGAATCAAAACACCTATGAGGACATGCCACAGACTCTCCCTGGCCACCATCCAGTTTTTCTTCCTCGCGTCTTAGATGCTGGAACCTAATATCTCAGACACAGGGTCCAGCTTGCAGATACATGAAAGCTGAACCTGTCGAATGGAACATAAATCTGCCAGATACCTCAACGATCAGAGTCCAAGATAACAAACAGGGTTGCTGGTAGCTTAATGGAGGGTTTCAACACACACACACACACACACACACACCCCTCCTCCTGCATCACTCCTATCCCCTAGCTGTAACAACAGAAAACATAAAATTAGATATGAACAGTATCAGCACCTTTGTGATAAATATCCTCACTTTCAGATCTAAAGGAGAATATGAAATATTAGCATTCCTCAGGCTTAAAGACAGACTAAAAGATGCAAAAAGTCCCTTGAATTTCACAGGGTCTCTCACTGTTTGGTCTACATTCTCATATCCTGATTAAGAGACTGTAACCACCTCATAAATCACTACAGGGGCCTACTGTCACTTTGTTAAACTTCTTTTCTGCCAAGAGGTCAAAGTGCCAAGCTAATACCCTCCAACAGAGGGTTGCCCTCTCAAGTTAAGCACCCTGCGCCACTCTGGACAACCAATGGGGCTTGACAATGCCAGGATCAGGGTGCTAGTTCTGTGGGAAAACCACAGCATGCTTCCTGGGAGAAGATGTGAAACACAAGATGTCTGAGTGCCTGGACAGGAAATGGAATTTCTTTGCAAATACAGTGAGTCCTCGGGATTTTCCCAAGGACTTTCCTCTCTTGGTTACCGAACCACAAAGCTTGGCAGGGCTTCAGATAGTCACAGGCCTCTGGGGCTCCTCCTTCTTTGCTCTTCTAAGCATACAGACCCTGAAGCAGTTATCTGGGGCTGGGTAAGCAAGCTTCTCTGAGGCCCAACCCACTCAGCAGTCAGCTTGGCAGGTAGCTTTACAAGTGCTGTATTCCTGACAATACATCATAGCCTGCAGACCCGAGCAGCTACATACCCAGGAGGCACTCCCACTCTTCTTCCTAACTGGCAGAGGCCCAAGCTGGTTTGAGTGTTCAAGTCCCACAGGTTCAGGGAATGTGGTACTTCCCTAACACCAGAGGGTGAATGTGAATTTATTTTATTCTTTTGGCCACGTGGCTTGTGAGATCTCTGTTCCCCAACCAGGGCTTAAGCCCGGGCCACAGCAGTGAGAGCGAGGGAGCGGTAACCACTGGACTGCCAGGGAATTCCGTGTGCGTTTGTTTTAACAAGGCCAGGAAATTCTATTTTCCTAGTCATTGATTAGTTTTAGGAGTATGACCCAGTTCTGGTCAATGGTCCTGTGGAGGGTGGAGTGGGTGGCAGACTGTTGGGGAGCTTCTGCAAAAGGTCTTCCCCTCTGGTTGAAATGCCCATTCTTTCAGCCAGATGCTGTGGAACTTCTAGGGAGATACCTAGCAATGTGGCACCTATCTGGAGTCATAAGGCAAATTCAAGGACCAAGCCATTAGCCAGGGAAAGGACAGCAGGAAGAGAGCACTGACTGACGTCCTCGATGCTACCCCAAGCCATTATACAGTCTACTTTGGTGCTTCCTGCTACAAGAGATGGTAAATCTTTCTAAACTACCTAAAGCTGGGCATCGGGCAGGGTATCCAGTGTGTGCTCCTGCTGATCCACTCTTCAACTGATCCACTTTCCACCTCACTCTCTGCCCTGGAGACTGACCTGACTCCTCTCGACTGGCCCTTTGTCTCCTGACTTCCGCAGGGTTTGGCTGACGGGGAGTCCCAGCAGGAGACTGGCTGCTGCCTCTCTGAAGGGGTCTTTTCTCCAGGAGTCTTCTTCCAGGTTCTAGTAACTGCTCCCCCGACTCTGGGCCCAGAAGCTATTACCAAACAGCTCTGCTGATACAAGTTCCTTGATTCAACTACAGTCTTAACGCTTTTGTAAACAGTCCCTTTAAAAAGTCTTCCTCATAGAATCCGAATCTGAGTATGCTGCTGCTTGTTGAGACTCCCAACTGATGGAGACCGTCTATTACTTGCAGCTGAAAGTCGCCTAAGTGACACCCCAGCACCAGACTTCAGTTTTTAAAATTCAGGAAACATCACAATACAGGCAATTCCAGGACACTTCCATTCCAGTTTCAAGTGGAGTGAGTGTGTCTGTGGGTGGTGGGAGGCAGTGGTTGGAGGAAATAAACGGCACATGCGTGTGTGTTGTCTGGGTAGCCCTGCAGGAAGCACCTGATGAGAATCACATCTGAATAACCCTTAACAGTACACATTTTACATTATACACACTTTTATTTACCATAACGCTGTGAGCTAGGTCTCTTGGTTTTCATTTTATAGATAGGATCAGGTGAGGATGAGAACTGGGAATTAACTTCTCAAAGCTGTAACAAGGGGGTGAACCAGGAACGGAAACCAGATCTACTGACGCAAAATTCTGTGGTTTCCTCGCTCCCCAGGGCTTGCCCTTCCCTCTGTGAATCAAGACCAGAAAGGCAGGATGCAACCAAGAGGGAAAGGGAAGAGGCAGGGTGGATGTGTGGGTTAATCCTGCTCTTCCTATCCTCACCCGAGATTTTTCTGCAATTCCTTTAACATATAAGAAAAACTACATATGCTAGAAAAACCCAATCTAACAGCTTGCAGTAGCCTGGGATTCCAGAATAAATACTGAAATTGGCAGGACACAGAGTGTTCTTCCTCTCGATGGGTCACGTGAGGACACTGCCTAATATCTGTCATGTGTGTGTCTGGAAATATACAATATTTATGCGTCATTCAACTCTCAGATACCTCTTTCTTGTGCCAAAAAGAACTGCTCTGTCCCCTATCTTCTGATCTGACCTAAAAATGTCATCAAAATCTGGCCCCAAAGACCTATAAATTCTTTTTAAGTGGAGGACTTCAGTATCCTCCCAGCCTCCTAAGAGAACGGCTTGGATGAAATCATGCCAAGAACTGAGTAAGTGGGCGGGGTTTTTAGTGGAAACCATAGTGCTGTGGCCACATGTTCACAATACCACGGGGGTGGGAGGGTGGTCCTTTGGCCGGGATAGGCTGGGAGGCTACTTAACATTTTAACATCAGGGGAAACACAGCCCAGATTCAAGAGTCAAGACCAAGTCATGAGACTCACTGGAGTCAAACTCTGGCATCAGGTCCGCCTGCTTCTAGGCAGCTGTGCTTTCACCTGAACAAACTACCCAGAACGCCGACAGGGGAAAACACAGCAAAACACAGCACTCCAGCACGTGGCATCTCAGGAAACTGACCCTTGAATTCAGTTTACTATCTCAATCCTTTTCCTGAAATCTGCTGAAGGTAGTTTTCACCACCCCCACTAAAGGGGTAATAAATAATGTAGCAAAATTAATAACTCATCAATTGCCGAATTGTTGTGGAAACAGCCAGTTCTTATTGATACAGGAAGATATTCAAGACCTGGTTCTGGGTAGACAGAGAAATACAAATACTGTACAGTCCCTCTTACACCTGGAATCTAGAAAAGTCAAACTGGGAGAAAGAGAGCGGTGGAGAGTGGTTGTTACCGGAGGATGAGTAGGGGGAGGGGGTGGTGGGGAGATGACAAAGAACACAAACATCCAGTGGCGAGATTCTCAGGTTCCGAGGATCTAATGTACAACACAGTGATTACTGCTAGTAATACTGTATTATATACTTGAACTGATGTTTTCGAATTGTGGTGCTGGAGAAGACTCTTGAGAGTCCTTTGGATGCAAGGAGATTAAACCAGTCAATCCTAAAGGAAATCAACCCTGAATATTCATTGAAAAGACTGTTGCTGAAGCTCCAACACTTTCGCCATCTGATGCAAACAGCAGATTCATTGGAAAAGACCCTGATGCTGGGAAAGATTGAAGGCAAAAGATGAGATGGTGTATGGCATCACCGACTCAATGGACATGAATATGAGCAAATTCTGGGAGACAGTGGAAGACAGAGGAGGCTGGTGTGCTGCAGTCCATGGCATCCCTAAGAGTCAGACCCGACCTGGCAACTGAGTAACAACACCACCACAGAATGTTGCTAACAGGGATCTTAAACAGTCCTACCACAAAAAAGAAAAGGTAATTACGTAAGGGGATGGAGGTGTTAGCTAATGACATGGTTGAATCAGTTAGCAATATATGAAATTTATGAGATCGGGGACCTCCCTGCTGGCCCAGTGGTTAGGGATCCGCCTTGCAATACGGGGGACCTGAGTCTGATTCCTGGTCAGGGGACTAAGATCCCACATGCTGCAGAGCAACTAAGCTCTGGTGCCACACAGAAAGTTCCTGCATGATGCAATGATGCCAAATAAATAGTAAAAAATAAATTAAAAAAAAAGAAGTCAATACAATGGACATCTTAATAAAAGTTGTGGGTGGGAGGAACAGTGACAGTGAAGTGAAGTGTAAGTGCTCCATAAATGCTGCTACAGATAAAAAAAAAAAAAAAAAAGGCCCAATACGGAGTGAAGAGGTAAGGCTGAAAAACAGGTTTTGTTTAAAAAAAACAAAAATACATCCATCAACATACGTGGGAAAAGACCTAGAGACACAGATAAGATAATGTCAACTGCTGTCTGTGGGTACTGAGTTTATAAATGACTTCTCCCTTTGTAATTTTCTGTATTTCTGCAAAACATATGTAACATTGGACTGAAAGATCTTAAAAAAGAAAACAAGAGTTATTTCTGGGAAGTAACTTCATACCTCCCATGGATTACTTATATCCCAATTTTGCTGATTTGTTCCATGACTGAAATTACTGGAGAAGGCTTACTGAAACCAAGCACTGGGGGAAAAAAAGTCCAAAGCAGCAGGAGGTACTCGTTTTAAAACAGTGGGCCAAAATTTTTCCAAGAATTTCAGCTACACCTAGCCCTACGTTGGGAGCAATCAGTATCCATTTTTGATACGGCAGCTGTATCCGGCCTTAGAAGATGTTGAGAAGTATTTATTAAAACCTGCACCTAATTGAGAACTGAAATAAGGGGATCTTATTTCCACCCTTTAAATGTCTTTAGATTAAACGCCTAGTCCTCCATGCTGAGCTCAATCAAGTTCTGGTACTTATTTTTTAAGTAGAAAAACTAGATGGACAGAGATTTCAATTTTCAAAATGTATCACACACTTAAATTAGGCTGAGGACTAGGTGCACAGAAGGACATTTCACTGTGCCCTGGGGAGCATAAAGGAGGGAAAAATCTGAGCAAGTCAATTAAGGAACTCACCTTGCCAGCAAGATCCCCTGGTACTCTTCCAGCTGTCTCATGAAGCTGGGGTTGGGCTTGGTCACTGTCCGTCTTTCCTTCACATAGTCATAGGCTCGGTCCAAGTTCCAGCCATACTCCTTCATCGCATAGGCGATCACAGTGGAGGCTGAGCGACTCACCCCCATTTTGCAGTGCACGAGGCATTTAGATCCGTGTTTCCTTGTTTGGGGGATTCAGGTAAGGAGGAAAACACAATAGTGAGTACATTTTATCTTTTTTTTTGGTTGAGATTTTTGATGTGGATCATTTTTTAAAGTTTTTATTGGACTTGTTACAATATTGCTTCTGTTTTATGTTTTGGTTTTTTGGCTGTGAGGCATGTGGGATCTTAGTTCCCAGACCAGGGATTGAACCTGCACCCTGCTGCAGGTTAAGGTAAAGTCTTAACTGCTGGACCACCAGGAAAATCCTTATAGTGAGCACACCTGAAAAGCTAGGTTCTTAATGTGTCCATGTCTCCTGTTCAGCCCTTCCACTTTCTTGCTATGTAATTCACCCCACCTGAGTGCACTCATGTGCACCTCTAATCACGTGTGTGGGGCAATCCTGGTGCATTCAAACAATATTCAGTGTCAATATTAAGCCTCTTTAGTTCAGTAAACATTTACCGAGCATTTACCATGTGTGAGACATTGTGCAAGGTCTGGGATGCAAAAATAAGTAACAGGTTTTCCCTAGAGGGTAGGATTCACTGGGAGAAGTGGGCAATTAAAATTCAGAACGGTAATTGCAATGACAGTTGGTCACAGAGCACAGAAGGAGAATTTTCAATTTAGAGACTGGACCCCATTTTGTGTGTGGCTGCAGGCCAGTCCCCTCGGCCCCAAGGGCACATTTCACGGCTGGCAGGCGATTGAGTTACAGGTGTGGTGGTGATTCATCTAATTTATCCAAATGCTGGGAGTTGCTTCCAGTTCCAGCAAGAGTTCTGTCCCAGGAGGAAAGCACAGACCAAATGAAACTGACTCTCCTTTTTACTCAGACGCAGCCCTGGATATTACTTTTCACAACACCACCACCCCTGCTGTATCTAGGGACTGGTATAACCCGGGGAACTGGACAGGACCATGTGATGCACCACATGGCTTTCTCAGCCAGAAGGGTGGCATGAATAACAAGCTGTTTGTTTGTTTCTTCTTTTTTAATGGGGTAGAAGAGAAAACAAAGTTACCATAGAGTGACACAAACAAACAAACAAACTCCTCAGTCTTATGCCAGAGCTAATTACCCCAGATCTGAACTTTACTCGGTTATGCTAACTCTACTAATAACACAGTGTCTGGCCTGGAGTAAGCCTTCAAATGTTTGCTCAATGTATGAACAAACTTATGGATCTGCTGATTTTATCTGTCAGCTGTAAGCAGGATCAACATTTTAAAATCTGCAAAAAAGGACAGTTACTCCTATCACTGGTATACATGGGCTGGGATCCTTCCCAAGGGGTTATTAGAATAAATTTAAAAATGCACATGTCAGCCCAACAGGGGGAATCTATTCATTCACTCACTCACTGTATTACAGTAGACATGCTTCCTTCCAGAAGCTTACAATCCTTCTGCTGGAGACAGAGACACATGAAAGAGTTAAGCACCAATGAAAGGAGGCATGAGGTTAAGTGCCAAGATGAGACAGCCAGCCAGATAAGCTATGAGAATGCAGAGCATGGTCTGGAATAATTTAAATAGCCTCATAAGAAAGGTAAAATTTTAGCGTCCTAATGGCTAGTGCGAGTGTGTGTCTGTTTACTTGGATGATCCCAAATGACTAGGAAATATTTGTTTTGCTCATGGCACCACAGAGGCTTCATTTAGACTACAGTTGGGAAGCCACGTCACAGTGACTCAGATGGAAGTTCAGACATGTGTTCTGTATTTTCCCATCAAGCTCTGACAACTTTAATACGTTGAATTTCAGGTCTTTGCCTGCAGGCAAGGAAGGTACTCAAACTTGGCCGATCTTAAGAAAAATACAATTATGAAATCCATTCCTATGAAAACATTTCTACATTTTGAGCTGGGCTTTTTCAGTGAATGGCTTCTAACTCAGATAATGAAGGATGTGGAGTTGGTTTTCACCTACCCCAATTTCATCTTTCAGGTTCAGTGCTCGCCCCACCCCCTTACTTCAAGTGCTAGACTGTCCAGATTAAGCCCAGCATCACGTTAGGACTCCTAAACTCACCCAAGTGTAGGCAGAGTCTGGAATTTGGGGGACTGAATAGGGTTGAGATGTCCAAACGAGATGTCCAGGGTGCCACTTACGGAGGCGCTTGCTCTCAGATGCTGACCTACACTTACAGGACATGAGAGTGCGTGCCTCTCAGTAAATGTAACATGGGTGCCTCCTGTACTTCCTTTCAACCTCAGCCCTGCTGGAATCAGCCTCTCTCTTCACTGGGACTGGGGCCTCGTCTCGAGCTCTAGCCTCTTTGGCTGTAGCCCTGACTACTGCCTCATCTTTTCCAGTCCCCTTTCCTTAAGGAACTAGACTGCTCCTATAGCTGATGGACTGAAAGGGGACACGATCTTAAGTTCAAGTCTTGTCTCCCCCAGTTGTTACCTAATCTCTCTTTGAACCTCATCTCTGTATTCTGTCCCCTCTGTACAGAAGACAAGACAGTATACACCTCTCTGGGTTTTGGCAAACAGAGGAGAGAATATGTGTAAAGTACATGGCACACAGGAAGTAAGCTATGAGTGGTATTATCATTGGGAATAATTTAATAAGAAGCTTCAACAGTACAAAAGTTTTTCAGGTACCTCTAGGAGACTGAGAGAATGGGCTCAAAGCTGGAGTATGGGAATGGGAACCCAGGGTAACTCTGAGGAAGCATTTTCTGACCACGAAGGTCCTTCAGTGAGGTGTGGCATCATCCCTGAAGGAGGACTTTAAGGACAGAAGTGCTCCTCATCTGCCAGGGAGCACCGAGTGTCGCCACACCTGCAGGGGGAGCGTGGGCAACACATTGCCTGAGGGTTTCTCCTTTTGAAGGAATACATAGGACTGGCAAGGAAATCCCCAGGGACTAAGAAAAAAGTGTTGACATATTAATACTAATTAACACTAAACCCTAAATTAATACTATGGAATCGTTTCAGTAAAAGGAAGACAATCACAGAAGGGCCAGAGAAAAATTTCACTATTTAGAGTACTGCAAATGTAAAGGACTTGATACTCATTGGAAAAGGCCTTGATGCTGGGAAAGACTGAAGGCAGGAGAAGGGGGCAGCAGAGGATGAGATGGACAGATAGCATCACCGACTCAACGGACATAAATTTGAGTAAACTCTGAGACACAGTGGAGGAAAGAGGACCTGGCGTATTGAAGTTCATGGGGTTGCAAAGAGTTGGACATGACTTAGCAACTGAACAACAACAAGAAGAGTAAAAAGAAAGGGAAAAGATTTCCAAAGCTCGCTGTGTCTTTCTGCTTGATTTCAGAGAGGAGGATCTACTTTCCATCTGTCTGGAGTAATTTCTATTCTATAACTTTCAAATGTCCTCACTGGCAACTTCAGAATTTCTTCCTTCTCTCATTTCTATTTCTTTTGCTGCAGCTTGAGTTTATTTTCTCTCATTTTGTGCTCAATGGAAATAGCCAACATGAAATCATCTTCCAGGGGCTTCATCTACTTAAAGCAAAAGTATTAAGTCACTAGTCATCTTTTTTCCTAAGAAATCCCAGTCTCCTTTTTTTCTTTACTTCCTTTCCCTGAGTATCATCAGTAAGTTATCTACAGCTTTCAGGCCCCAGCCATGTGTGGTGCAAAAGGAAGAGGAGTCCGAATGTGCACGTGGGACCATGACTCACTTTGCTTTAGAGATGAATTTGTAAGTGTCATTCCAGTAAGCCAGGAGGTCTGTGGCCTCTTCATCATACACCCGAATGTTATGATACTCAAAGACTCCCGGGAAGAAGTTGTCTATCTCTCGAGTGACATTCAAGATATAGCGAACCCTGTGAGGAAACCAAGAGAGAATATAAGCTCTACTACTCAGGTGAAATCCAATTCCCAGCACTGTTTTTCTTATTTAAAACTGGTTTACTCCTGAGGCTGAAATTAAGTACCTAACTATGGAAGAAAGCTGAAAAACAAATACAAAACAAGACAACCCTAAGAGGCTATACTTAATACAGAATCTGTAACAGGGTCCTGGGCATACCTGGGTCTCAGGGATTTAACTGAGAGAGAAGCTGTCTACCAAGTTCAACATCTAAATTCCATTTTCAATGTGTGTAGTTATACAATCTCATCTTTCAGAGTCTTTTGAAAATATGCCTTGCACTTTACTCCAAAGAATCAACTTGAAGCCGGTCATCTGACAAATTCTCTTCAGTCACAAAAATTATACCAGCAACAAAATTTAGTCTGTGGAAGTCATGTGTATTAAATCAGATTATTAACATGTATCTTAAGAAAAAAAAAAATAGAAGGAAACATTTCCTATCTTCCTAAATGCCAGATTGTCGGCTTTTGCTCTATTACTCCCTTTAAACTACATGAAAGGCAAATGAGGCCAGGGCTGGGAGGGTCAGAGGAAAGTTGGACTTCAAACTCTCTCAGCTCTCAAGGCTGCATTCCTGGCTGCTATGACAGCAGATGTGTCTGAGAGTTCTCCCAGGCTTGCAGAAAATGCTTTCTCTATCAAAAATTTCCTCTGCTGTTTCTCCCACTGTGCGATCTTAATAAATGCCTGGGTTTAATTTACCAAAGGATTACCTTTTTTGCAGTGCTGTGTGGCCTTAAGACAGCACTGTTGCCTACTTCAACAATACAACACAGTCACTCGTTTCTCTCTGTAGAAGCGATTTCCTTCTCCGAACCACACATGGACTTCTAGAAACCCAGTCTCTGAAGTCAGAGGAAGGACTACAGAAAGGGAGAGCCATGGCAAAGCAAACTTGTGGTGAAGGTCAAGCAACCAAAATTTTTCTGGGACATGATTTCAATCTGTTTCAACTGAGCATCAAAGTCCATCACTAGAAAGGATCTTTTTATTCCTTTTTAATTTAAAAAGCAAGCTGGGCTTCCCTGGTGGTCCAGTGGTTAAGACTCCACACTTCCACTGTAGAGGGCACGGGTTATATTTCCTGCTGGGGGAACTAAGATTCTGCAAGCCACGTGGTGAAGACCGCCCTTCCCAATTAATTAAAAAATAATAAAAGGCAAGCAACATGCACCTGAGGAAAATACTCTAGACGTTCTCCAAAAGGTTACCATCTGATCCAGTAATTCCTCTCCTAGCTATAAACTGAAGAGAAGTGAAAACATGTCCACCCAAAGCCAAAAAGTGGAAACAACCCAAATGTCCATCAAATGATGAATGGACAAATAAAATGTGGTGTGTGTGCATGTGTATGTGTATCTCCATAAAATGGAATATTATTTGGCAATAAAAAATAAAGTAGCAATATGTGCTACAACACTGTAAACCTTGAAAATACAATGTTAAGTGAAATAAACCATTCTTAAAAGGCCACATATTGTATAATTTCATATAAGTGAAATGTCCAGAATAGGCCAATCTATAGCGATAGAAAGTAGGTTAGTAGTTTCTAGGAGTTGGGGAGAAGGATGGGAGATGGAGGTAACTGCTAAAGGGGCTTTCCTTTCGGGTTGGAAAAAATTTTTTAATGGACTGTTACACAGTTCTGTGAATATACTAGAACCCACTGAAGCACACATTTTAAAAGGGTGAACTATAAAGTATATGAATTATATCTCAAAACTGTCAGAAAAAAAGGCAAGCACACTTCTTATTTCATTTAAAATAAAAATGAACAACTCTCCCATCCCCAGTCCCATACTTCAGTAAGGGATTATAGCAGGACAGGTTTCCCAATCTTTTCATTATGGAAATCTAGATAGCCACTACCCACTGGAAACAGCCCTCCTTGAATCTTCTCTGCCATTTCTGTAAAGGAGCAGCAGTTTACTTGGAGTTCTAAAGTCAGTGGATTGGGAGAAAAATGGCTTTATTGTCAAAATTACACTTGAAAATCCCTTAAATCATCCACAGGGGCAATATACATGTTTTATATACAGATCCCTGAACTGTAATTCTTCATCCATTTACAATGAAGCACCAATGAATTTAAGAAACAAGATCTAAGTAGATGTCTAAGCATCTAACCATACTTGTCTTTTTTCTGTGTTTTACAATTTATGCTTGTAAGTGGTAAATGAGATAAACAGGTCTCATCTCTAGCTGGGGATATCAGTCAAAGCATACACATACATGAATGATTCTAATACACTTGGCAGGCAGTGCTCTATCAAGTCAGATTTCTTACTGAACACTGTATCAGGTGCTAGTCTCCTGCAGATCACAGTCTGTCAATTTTTCGATCATTCCTTCACATTTACTGGGCACCCTTTGGTATAAAGCTCTAAGTTTGGTATGTTTCACACAAAACTAAGATACAGTCTCTGCTTTCAAGAACTACTGATTCAATCCTCATCAACTTAAATTTTCCAAGTTCTTTTTACTTTCATACCTTAAAATTAAGTAACCAGATTTCCACTCCCCCTCCCCCAAAATTTTTTGTATAATCACTTGTCTTTCTTTCTTCTGAGGGAGAAGTGGAAGTATGCATTTAATCACCTTCAAGATAGCCAGAAGGCTGACTTGTAGCTGAGAAAACAGGCAGCCAGCAATCAGCCAGGGAGTCATCACTATCTCTGAGTTTCAGTAGGTCTTATCTCTGTCCAAATTAAGAGTTAGCATGGCCAATGTCCAGACATGATTTTCTCTTAATGTAATGATCTGACCTAAAGCTGAGTCTGATTGAAGATTTAGGCATTAGCTAAGAAGTGAAAAGGAAGAATGGTGGCTTTTTGCTTGTTGAAGGTTCACTGTGGTCTCAGCTGCTACAATCAAAGATAACCATACCGCTTAGGAACACATTTCTTAATACAAGTCAGTCTTCCTGTTCAATTTTACATTGTTCATTTTATATTTATAACCTACCTAGTCTTCATGCACCTTACTATAAAAGGATAGGGACTGAGACTTATTTTGTTTTGGATTCCTAACATCTAGCTGTGCTTGGCCTACATAAATTGCCCAATAAATGTTGATTAGAGAGCTGTAAACCCAACACACGCAGTTCTGTATACTCTTACATTAAAAACAGGAACCACAATTCAGAGAGACAGTAAAAAGATCAATGGTTGCCTGGGGTGGGGGTGGGGAATAAATGGACAGAGCACAGAGGATTTTTCACGCAGTGAAGATACTCTGTATGATGTCATTGTGACGGACACATGGTCATTATACATTTGTCCAAAGTCACAGAAGCTACAACACCAAGAGTGAACTTTTACATAATCTATGGGCTTTAGATGACTAGGAGGGGTCAATATAGGTTCATGGGATGTAAAAAATGTACCTCTCTGGTGGGGATGTTGAAAATGGGGGGAGGCTACACATGTGTGGGGGCAGGAATATTCGGGATATCTCTGTACCTTCCCTTCAACTTTGCTGCAAACTTTATACTACTCTGAATAAAAAAAACCCAATAACTGGGTTTGATTTTTACACAGCATGAAAGGCTTATACATTGTTCTTTGAAAGACTTTCCACTGCAACAGCTGCTTTTTCTTGGGAGGAGGGGATGAAACAGAGGGAGGATAGCTGTTTTAATTTTTATTAGATTTCGCCCAGTAAGAACCAACTGGAAGCAACTCTCAAGCTTAAACTTCCGCACTGACACCTCTTGGTCAGGAAAATGCAAAGATAAAACAGTGATATTTGCCACCTGGGGGTGTCAGCAATTGCTCTGTGTCCTTACCCTCGGTTCTGTAAATCCTCTAAGTTGGAGGCATTCCATTCTGAGCCCTGCGGAACCAAAAAGACAAGGTTAGGGAGAGAGAATTAGTAAATGGACCAAATACAATACTTGAAAAGTAGTTCTATGAGGGGAGAAGCACAGTTTCTAAAAAGAAGGCCAATAACGGCTACCACGTTTCCTCTCTATGTATGCCAGGGACTTTAAATGCTATCATATTCAGTTCTCACAAATGATGAGAGTAAGAAAGTTGCCTTCATTTTTCAGAGATATGAAAACCAACCCATATATAATTCAAATAATTTCTGCTCACGATCACATCTGCTCTACTTACAAGGCAGCTTTAACATTGTCACACCAATACCAAAACCAATAACGAAAATATTAAGTTCAAATTTTCTTTGCATTTCTTTTTTCTTATATCACACTAAGGAGTATAATCAGAGTATGTTTTATGCTTAAGTTATCTGAATTAATTTTTTCCTGTGAGGTTATCAATTTGATATACATATGGGTTCATTTGCTCCTGCTTATATTCAATTTTAGGGTGTGTTTTTTCTTCCATGTTTTCCATTTTCTTTTTTAATATACAAGACTTTTAAAAGGTTGAGAGTCAAAAGTTTATTAAAAAATAAACTTGGAAGTCTCACTCCCATTCTTGTCTCTTCAATCCCCCTGGGAAACCATTTTTATTAGTTTGTGGCTTATTCTACCTATGTTGTATTTTGAAAAAATATAAGCAAATATATATTATTGCTTCTGACTTACACACAAGTACTGTACTACATCTACTTTTTTTGTTCTTTGCTTTCTTTACAACGTATCCTCAAACCCACTCTGCATCACAGTGTCACTTTCCCCATAGCCTTGCCAACAAAATGTGTGATTAAGATTTTGAATATTCTCCAAACTGATAGGTGTGAAACTTTATCTCAGTGTAATTTTCACTTGCATTTCTCTTAAGTGTAAAAGTGAGCAACTATTCAATGTTTTAGGTCCATTTTCTACCTTTGAGCTACCTGTTCATGTCTTTTGAAAAGGCAAAGTTTTAAAAAATAAGAATTCATCTATTTCAGAATAATGCATTAAGTGGAATTTCACATTAGAAGACTCAAGTTCAAGTCCTGACTCCCCCTCTGACTGCAGGGCCTTGGGCAAACTGCTTAACCTGTCTTCACTTTCCTTATCTGTAAAATAAAACACTCCCCCCACTCTAGCCCTAGGAATCTAATAGATGGATACCCTCCCCTCAAACTACAAAGTTTCTCCCACTGCTTTTTCCATGTGAGAACACGAAGAGCAATCCTGACTACGCTGCCACACTGATCTCAGACTACAGCCTCTAGAACTGTAATGTTTCTACCATTTACACAGACTTCCCTGTGGCTCAAATGGTAAAGAATCTGCCTACGATGCAGGAGACCAGGGTTCGATCCCTGGTTCGGGAAGTTCCCCTGGAGAAAGGAATGGCAATCCACTCTAGTATTCTTGCCTGGAGATAGAAGCCTGGGGGGCTAGAGTCCACGGGGTCTCAAAGAGTCGGACACGACTGAGTGACTAACACACAGTTTATATGCCAGCACCCCCACCTTGCTCTCCTCCCACCACATTTCTCTCATTTTAAAATGGAAAACCATCTCTCCATCCTAAATCCTCTAGACATTGTCCTTCTTTTCTTTCCTTCATGGTCAAGATTCCCTAGAAATAGAATACTCACTTTCTATAATTCCTCATTTCCCATGTATGTCAACCCAGAACACCACGGCTTCTTGCCCTCATCACTCTTGCTAATGACCTCTTCTAATCGTCTAAACCAGGTCACTTTGGTAATCTCACTCCACTGGCCTTCTAAAGTATTTTTCTTGATATGGTCATCACTCCCTCCTTCCTTAGATCAGACTAAGATATTTATACTTCTGTACAATTAAAATATGCTTAGCATAATTACATAGAACTTAGTGAAAACCCACATGGAAGTATGTTGTTGTAATATCTAGCTTCATGCCTAGCACAATAAAAAGGATCATCAAATGCCTGTTGAATAAATGGTCAAATGAGATAAGTAAATGAAGCACTCTGAAAATTGTCAAGTGTCACTCTAGCACTACCTTCGCGTTACAAGTGATCTGTAACCTGGCCACTGAACTAGGAGACCTCAAGGATGCTGTAGTAAAAGGTCAGTAAGTGATGGACAACTGATCTCTTGTAGAGATCAGTGCTCACTTGACTTGCTTTTAAAATAAACATGTATAAGAGGTTCTTAAGACTCTGTGCTCAACCTTGGAAAACACTCCCACACCAAAGAAACAGGCAAGAAGAATAAAAACAGGACTTTCAAGGAGACAGAAGCCAAGCAATAAGGGTTGGGTGTCTAAACTGGAGCCAGGGAAATGTGACCACCTCACTTCTTAATTTAGAAATCTAAATCCCCTACAGAATTCTGTCCAGCTAGATGGAAATAACCCTGACGTGATGGGAAGAGGCCACGGTTTACATCTACCAGTCCAGAGAAACTTCAATCTGACAATCTGAAATGACACATACCCAGAAACAAAAGAAATTAAATTCATCAGCTACAAGATAAAGACCATTACAGTATACTAACACATATATATGGAATCTAGAAAGATGGTAACGATAACCTTATATGCAAAAAAAGAAAAAAGAGACTCAGATGTATAGAACAGACTTGTGGACTCTGTGGGAGAAGGCGAGGGCGGGATGTTTCAAGAGAACAGCATCGAAACATGTATATCTAGGGTGAAACAGATCACCAGCCCAGGTTGGATGCATGAGACAAGTGCTCAGGCCTGGTGCACTGGGAAGACCCAGAGGGATGGGGTGGAGAGGGAGGTGGGAGGGGGGACCGGGATGGGGAATACATGTAAATCCATGGCTAATTCATTTCAATGTATGACAAAAACCACTGCAATGTTGTAAATAATTAGCCTCCAACAAATAAAAAAAAAAAGGAAAAAAAAAAAAAATTCATCAGCTACTGACTCAGTGAGGCTCACAGCGAGTGACTTGGGCTCTGCTTTGGGCTGCTTCAGCTTAGAAGAACTGGAATCAACATGGTGTCATTACTTTCCTGTCTTTAATACCAATGCCATGCATATTAGCCTTCTGGGTCCTCCACAAACTCAATCTTTTTTTTTTTCCTCCATGTTTCTCAGGCTTACAACAACATACTTCCATGTGGGTTTTCACTAAGTTCTATGTAATTATGCTAAGCATATTTTAATTGTACAGAAGTATAAAATGAAATCTTAAAACTGGAATACATCTTAAACTAAGTTCACTTCCATCTTTCATTTTGGTTCACCCACATTGTACTCTGGCCCAAAGACTTAAGTGACTGACTTTTTTTCCCCAAATGTTATCCTTAGGAAATAGCCTTGTTGGGGACCAAGTGTTTCAAACAAAATATAAGAGGACAGCACATTTATGGCAAATGAGGAGGACTGTATTGGGGGTTCTGCTAAGACCATACAGCTCAACATAGAATCTTCAAGGACTGGTATGCCTGCCCAAATCTTTATCATACCATAGCTACCGCGTCAACACTGTGAGCCACCTTACTGTGGTACAAGCTTTACAATTTCTTCTAAAAAGTTGATGATACACATCTCCAGTTGAGGGGCAAAAGTCCTGAACAAGAGACTTACCTTAATGTTTCTTTGAAATGGAAACTCATTTTAAAAGGATTTGTAATGTCAAATCTTGAAAAAGATAACCATCAGTGGTAAACTTCTGACTACTTTTTTATTCGCAAAGAAAACTACTGGTTGCCTGTCCAATAGTTCCGTGTTTCCCTTGTTTAACTAAGAAAGTTGTTGGCCTTTCTGCAAAGGATCTCTGTTCACATCTAGCATTTTCTCAGCCAAATCGGACAGCCTCCAGAAGAGCTGTTGATACTGAGATTTGGTTGGGCAAAGGCTTCCAACTCAGAGGAGCAGTACACTCTTAGGGGTGGGGAAAAACTTTTTCTGGAAATACCTTGGCTTCCAACCAATCAACCCTGTCTTCTCACAGCAGGTTTTTCTTTAAATTACACTCTATACTTTTCTTCTCCACATCAGCTGGACACGTTTCTGAATAAACATCTCTGTGCAGTGCACTACAGACTGAGCATTCTTCCTAAGGCAGGGGAGAATGCCTGCTGCCTCCCTTCACACGATCTGCTTGCACTCCAGGCATGGCAGCTATGAACAAGACGAAATGACTTTGCAGAAAATTAACACCACCACTTGCAGTTTGGATAAGACCTCTTTTTCCAAGTCAACTGCTGGGAAAGCCAGCGGAGCACAGACTCACTGGAGGAGAGATATGGGTTTGGACACAGGATGTGGCGATGCAAACAAAGGGAGGAAGCCATGAAGGAAGAGGTACAATAAGATGTTTAGACAACCTGTTTGTGCACTTATTTTGCTGCGTAAGAGTTAAATTTCAGAATTCTCCAGTTTGAAAGTTGCACCCCCCAAAAGAAAAATATTCACAAGGCAAAGAGCATGTCCATTTCTAGAAAACAGAATAATATCTGAAGCTGAATACACTTTCTTTTTTCAAAAATATGCACATAGATACATATTAAAAAAGTAAAACAAGAGCTAGAAGGTAGTATTATATAAGGATGATTAATGGTGTTTATCTCTCTTGGTGTTGATTAAATGTCATTTATTGTCTTCTAGAAGTTGTCTAAATTTTTTGCAATGAAACCAAATTATTTTTGTAGTAAGAGAAAAACCCAAGACAGAAGACTATGCCAATAATCATGAAATAATAGGATGAATCTACTGATACAAATACTCAAAGGCCTTGCTGATTAGGGACTAATTTGGGGAGAATTGGATTGTTCTTTCTGTTTAAAGTACTACTAACATGTATTTATATGTCCTAAAATAGTAACATTTTAGAAAGAGGTAAGGAGAAGATAGTTCTTGAGAGGGTGGCATCTGAAACACAGGGGAGTATGTCTGAAATTAAACAGTTAGATAGTGGCTGAATTTGACATTTATCATGTCCGAGTCCTTTTAGGTATTAAGATTCAAGCTCAGTGGAAAAGCAACTCCAAGTTTATAGCTTTGGTCACTTTCTAATGAGTTATTTTTGGCTACAGGCACTTGTCTGTCATAAAAATTAGTCATGTTACATGGAGACAGTTGGGGGCAGGGTCCATTTGAATGAATGACTCATAAGTTTTCTATGGACAACACAAAAAATTCTTTCCAAGGATACAAAAACAGGGAATACTTAAACCCTCATAGAATTACACACAAAAGTCAGCAAAGCCAGGTGCTACACAAATGGAAAGGTCAATGACAGTTTTGCCGTATGATCTACATCCAGAAATGGCAACACACATTGGTCAAGTTAAAGTAATGGAAAAGAAGTTCTCCTCCCAGCTCACAGCTTTTCATGAGTAATTTCATAGCTATACACCCCATGAATCACTCGACAAGCACACACACTCCAAAGTGTCAACAAGTTAATTCAGGGCACAAGGCTTCAATGGCATGAAGTCTAACTGCTGGATGAAATAAATTCATATTCAGGGTGAGATGATCCAGTTTAGTCAGTTCCTGTGCATTTATTCCTCTTCCCTGTTTCCCAGCTTCTAATCATTTCACAGCTCACAAATGTCCTTATCAGAGAAAGGAAGTGAAATTCAAACCAATCGATTTAGTTCCTTGTTAGCATTTTTAGTCAAAGGATGTGAGAACTGGAAATAAAAGTGAGGTTTTGGTGTCCTCCACTGACTTTAATTATCCTTGTGTATCCTTGGTCCCACTACCATGTACAGATGAAAACAAGAACTCATTAACATCTGGGAGATAAATCGGTCTTGGGATTTTAGAATCTTTCCTAATCCATCTGTCAGAGAGCTCTCCTTGGGCTAATTACAAGTCACTGAATGTCCAGCACCATCAAGAACAATTTTAAGTCACTGAAGATTTGGTGATCAAAAAGTAACTGAGGGACTAAAAATATAGCTTCAAGGTTTCAAATATTTTGAAAGTCCAATAGTCTGTTAGAGGTAGTTTTCTGCTCTGTTCAGATGTATCAGACCTTAGACCCATTTGGCAGATGTGGAAGAGTGACGTCCAAGGATCATTCTATTTGTATACACTGGACTGGTCTGCTTTGTGACTATTACTTCCAACAGCATGAGATCTTTAACCACCCATGGGGAGAAAAGGCTTGATCTGTAGCATCTGCCAACTTCCTTGGTGTAAATTTCCCCACCATAGTCAACTGCTGTCATTGAGTAACTGGGAAGAAATGAGCACAAGCATACCATTATATAACCTTTCCACCACACAACAGACATAAATAACCTTTAGAGCACAGATAACAGTAAAATGTAGTCAAATAATTAGGAAGTGATGAGGTTTGGGTATTTATTACCTTTGTTTTTAACATAAGCTACAATTTATTTGAGTATAATAAAATTTGATGATTGCCCCCCATGGGTTGGTAGAGACGAGTTTTGGCACACCCCTTTAAACTGGCCCTAAAACTTACCAAGAACACATGCTCAAATATCTGTGTAGGGCTATCCATCTGACCAAGGATCACTATCATTTCATTATCTATAAATTCCTTGAATTCTCGCAAGTTGCACACCATTTGCATTTCCAGTTCAGTTCGTATCTGAAACAGAGATGACATAATTGTACTAACCTCTGAATGGTCCCTCTGGACTTTCAATTGCTCACCATTTCCAGCCCCTCTCCTATTATTAATCTACCTCGAGCCTTGAACAATGAGGACTCAAAGTCTCTTACCTCTTTTGATGTGATATTCTCCAAATCCTTCTGCATCATAATCTCCCTTAATCTGGTTTTAATTAGCCTCTCTGTCCGCTCACGTTCAGTTGGTCTGAGAAGAGAGAAATGGTGACTTTTCTTAGGTAGGATACTGACCAAGTTAATGAATATGTCATTTGATTATGTTTCTAAATTGTCAGGCCTTTCCTTTTGTTACTCTTAAGTTTATATTCTGGAGGCAGGGAAAAAAGGAAAAAGTTTCTTTTCAGAATGTATAGAATGTAACAGGGAGAAATTATTACTTGAAGAGACTGTAGATGTCTAAAAGCCCATAAATACATTCACGTATAAAGATCCAAGAAGGAGTAAAGACAAATAGGCTACACTGAGTGCAGTACTTTAATGGAGGACCATTTCCATCAAGTAACCCTCAGCACCGCTTGTTGAGCTAGAAAACCAAGCGGGGTATGACCTACTATGGAACTGTGTCTTTTGTAGCTTAAAAATGCCACCCAGTGCTGATCAATTGTTGCTATGAGTGGGAAAGAGAGAAGAGTGATTTCTGCCTTCTTCAATGAAGCAAATTCTCTTCCAAAATGCATTTCAAGGATTAACTACCTAGAGTACCCTATCCAAAATATTTTCCTTTTTTGCAAAAGCTCTTGCAGTATTTCTGTGAAATTATTATTCCCATTTACAGATAAAGGAAATAGACAGCTGAGAGGTTAAATGATATGCCAACTGTCACTTAAAATGGCAAGAGAACCAGAACTCTTTGCCCAGCTTAACACTCTACCTGCAGGATCATGCTGCTTACATTAGTCTTCTGGCTCTCTTAAAAATAAAAATTTCCCTTGGCACTTTATTATGAAATCAAACTAGGAGGCTGATTCTCCAATTACTAGAAAGATACTGGTTCAACATAACTGGATGCTTCTCTCTAAAAGCATTATTCTCTAAGATGCAGCATCTGAGTGGGGCTTACAGAGCGCTCTTTCTGTCTCCGCCTTCCCTCCTACCTACTCAAGAAGGTATCTGTTCTGTACTTCCTTATTTGGAGATGGAAATGGACTAAGCCTTCAGGCATCCTGCCTGCCTTTGCTGCCTACGGCCTTATCACTGGCTGCAAAAATAGCTTCAGTATAATCTCCAAAGATGGATGCTCTGAGCCCACAACCTTGGGGTTTCCCACCACTTGGACTCATAAGTTTCTCATGAACCCTGCAGAGCATAGCTAACACCTATGCCATTCCCCTGTCAATCAGCTCAAGCACCCCAGTCTTGACCAGGAATAAAATGTTTAACCACGCTCCCCACCACTTTTCCCAGACATAGCTAACGGCAGAAAGTTACACATTTCAGTCATCTATTAAAAATAAACATTGGTTAAAAAAAAACAAATTTTAGCACCTGAGTGCAATGGGTTTGATTCCCTAGTTTAGCAGCCTTTCTCCCAATCCTTCACACTTATTGGGGCAGAGTGTTTGGAAGCAAATACACCTGGGTGTTTTGTTTTTTTTTCCATTTTTTTTTGCTTGTTTTGTGTTCTTAAATTTTGGGTTTAGTTATTTTTGCTGCACGTGGGCTTTTTCCAGTTGTGGCAAGCCAGGGCTACTTTCTAGTTGTGGTGCGAGGGCGTCTCATTGCAGTGGCTTCTCTTGTTGCAGAGCACAGGCTCCGTAGTTGTGGCTCGTGGGTTTAGCTGCTGCATAGTATGTGGGATTAAATCTGTGTTCCCTGCATTGGCAGGCAGATTCTTAACCACTAGACCACCAGGGGAAGTCCACACCTGGTTTTAACCCCAGCCCTGCTACTTACTATTTATATGACCTTGAACAAATTTCTTTCTTTCACTGAGCCTGGTTTCCTTTTCTATAAAATAAGAACAGTAATACTCTCTGTCTCATGAGGTTTTTATGAGAATTAAATGAGATACTATGAAGTGCCTAGTATAACATTTGACCTACACTGGAGGCACCATATACCTATGTTCCCTTTTCAATCTTCCTTGGATTTCATAATATAAACTTTATTCACAGTGGAGCACTTAAGTCCATTTTGGCATACATTCTCTGTATCCTCAGCATTCTTTTTAAGGCTCTTCTAGTCAACTTAGGAAAGAAGAGGGAATGGAAAAGGCATTACATCACAAACATACTTTCTCCCTCAATTTCACTAAAGAAAAATTTGGAAAATACATACATACAGAAAGAAGATAAAAATCACTGAAAATCCTATCATTATTAGTACTCTGACCTACAGCTCTCAGTCTCTTTTACTATAGACAGACACTTGTTTACTAAATATATCTTAAAACTGCGGTTATATTGTACATACTAAGAATTAACATTTAATGAGCCTTTACCATGTGCCAGGGACTATATTTTACGTATTTATTTATTTATTTTTGCTCAGGGATAGAGCGAGATTATGGGCAATTTCATTTTCTTTTTTGGGGCTCTAATTTTCAAATTTTCTCTAATGAAATCAGAAAAAAGGAAAAGAAAGGTTTTCTCTCTCTGATTCAAAATGTCTGTTTACAAACCAGATGAGATATCTATTCCTCTGACACTCATCAACCAGTCGTAAAGAGTAAATCAGTAACACTGCTCCTGTGGACTTGGCTGGCGATCAATGGTTAACTCTGAGCTTCCACCCCAGGGAACTAAGATCCCGCATGCTGTGTGCTGTGTTCAAAACAACAACAAAGGAAAATAAAAAACCAAAACCAAAACAACAAGAAAACACTGCCCCCAATTCTGAAGGCCATACTATGCTTGTCTTTTTAGTTACTGTGGAATCTTTAAGGGACTAGAGCTACTAGTACTAACTGACCCTCGTACCAATCATACCCTACACAGAAAAGTTTCTACTTTTTAAATGACTATTCCCTGCACACGATTCTTGGAAACTTCACTTTTTTCCAGTAAAAAAGCATTTCTTATCTAAATTAAGCCTTTAAAAAATCATGAACTGTTTAGGTGTCACTTCAGGAATCTGAAGGCAAAGGGGTGTAAGATCCTTTTAGTAAGTTGCTACTCTTCTTTCCCAGATGTAGAAAATACCTTGTAGGTGAAGAAAGATCAATTCAGAGCAAAACAAACATCCTGATTAATTTCGAAAGCAGGAACTAGGTATGAAAAAATTTCCAAAATAGTCACATAAGTTTCAACACATAGACCTAACTAAAAGGAAATAAACATCAGCTTCAACTTAGGTCTTTATCCAGTTCACAGCACAGCAGGGAGATTTAATAAAGTATCTACAGACCTGATAAGTCAAATGTGGGCTGAGTAAGACATGAATTATAAAATGTATTTTTAAAAATCTTAACAGAAATCAGTTAAAAATTCAGCATAATAATGTCAGTATTCTTTTAAATTGACTGGAAACATCTTGTTTTCTGAAGTGTTTAGAAACATCCGCGCTAAAGCTTTCAACGTCATTAACTTGTTTAGCAAATGCTTCTTTTACAGATAATGCAAAGACAAGAGCTCAGCTGAACTCCTTTAAAGTCAATTTCTGATTAGTGGAATTGGAATTAATGGGATTTTATGGTACTGCAGTCCTTAACTGTGGAGACTCCGCTGTGCCCAGGTGTGAGACTCTTCAGGTTTTCGCATATAACAGAAAGAACAGAAAGAAAAGGGCAGATGTGTAGGGTCAACAATGACTAGCATCACTGGTAAGGTTAATTCCCTAAGAGGAGAGACTAGGGAGGAACATGCTGCTTCCAGACCCCTGAGAACCTAACAGAGGGGATGTCTGGGATCCCCAGCAAGATGACTTACATGTCTGTGAAGAGAGCAGGAGAGTCAGGTCGGTGGGACTGCACATCCTGCATAGCATTCCATTCGTTGACTGAGGACTGGTCTGAGTTGATATGGCTCTCATAGTAACTCACCCAGGTGAGAAAGAGGCTGCCGGGGTAGTAGTTATGCATTCTGGCCACTTCACAAGCCTTGTGTAAACTCTGCAGTGCAGACCTGAAAGATAGGCTGGGAAGTGAGACTGGAGACCTGTGGGGATACCTAAAGGCCAGTAATCCATGTATACCCCAAACTCTTCCAATTTTAAAATCTTACAGAATTGGGCCTCTGGAGAATCTACTGCTTGGAAATCAAGATTCTCTGATCCTGATTATAATAATACCATATTATCTATTCATAGCAATCAACTAGACATTTCTTGCTGAAAAATATGACGCATTATAAAGGTGGGGGGTTGCGGGGGGAGTACAAGAACTGACAACCTACCAGTGGAAAATAGGTCCAAGTACCTGCGGAGCTCACCATGAGCTCACAGTATATTTAGTTAGACATTTGTTGCTGTTGTTTAGTTGGTAAGTCATGTCCAACTCTTTTGTGACCCCCATGGACTGAAGCCCACCAGGCTACTCTGTTCATGGGATTTTCCAAGCAAGAATACTGGAGTGGGTTGCCATTTCCTTCGCCAGGGGATCTTTCCAACCTAGGGACTGAAGCCACATCTCCTGTGTCTCCTGCATCGGCAGGTGGATTCTTTACTGCTGAGCCACCAAGGAGGCCCGGTTAGATCCAGTTATGGTTGTATACAGCTACGGCTGGAACCACGCTATGGCCTGTATCACCAGAGAACGAAGATCTACTTCATTTACCACACAAAGGTTTGCTTCTCTTGGCACAGGGTCACGTAGAGCATATATTCCCTATGATTCTTAGAGGTTCCACAAAGATCACATAGACAGATGTCCCTAAGCCTTGAGGACAAGTCCTTTTATGGATGTACTGCTCTAATGACATTTGTCATTCTTGCTGCCTTAGTTCCCCTTAGTCACTTTAAGCCATTTATTCATACCCTTGAGCTACTTTCTAAGAACAGCTCTGGTTATTCTGTGACTAATTAGATCTCTGACTCCAAACCTAGGAACTCAAGAAAGGTAAAAAAAAACTGAAAAATATTGTTTTGGTTATATACTTGGGAAAAACTTGAGCCAGAAATGCTAGGAAGTTAGTTACTCCAAAGCAGGCATCTTTCTATGTTTTTGTTTACTGATGTATCTCAAGAGCCTAAAAGGATGCCTTCTTTAAAAAAAAAAAAGAATGCCTTCTAGTTCAAAGTTAAAATTTGTTGAATGAAATGACTTATTAGCTATAAATTAATATCTTTCCTAAGGGAAAAGGACATTATGAGAGAACTCTGTGGCCAATCTATTTATATCTTTTGCTTAAAAATGCCTTTTTACTGTTTCTTCTTTCCTAACAAATATGATCATGCTCATTTTAGAAAATTTAGCGATCTCAGGTAAAAGGCAGGAATATCCTGTAATCTGACCACTCAGAAACAACCACTGCTAAGCTTTTAGTATAGATCTTTCCAGTCTGTTTGTCTCTGCAGAGATTTAAAATAAAGACATGATCATATTCCGCATACCTTATTTAATTTGTTCTTTTACTTTACACTTTGTCGTCAACATTTTTCCATGTCAATAAATGTTCAATTAGATAATTTTCAATGGCTGCATATTTAGAAACATGGATGTACTGGAATTTAACTGATTCCTAGTTTTTTAGACATTTAAATTGCTTTCCATTTTTTGATACTATTAGAACAACTGATAAAGATTCTTACAGTTAAAAATCTGCACACACCCTTGATTATTACCTCAGGATAAATTCTTGGAAGCAGAATCACTATGTCAAAGGGTATACAAAATGGTAAGGTGTACTGGCAAATCATTCTCCAGAAAGGTCACTCCAGTTTATTTTCCCATCAGCGAGGCTATGACAGTGCTGTTTCTAGAATCCTTGTCAACCTCATATAATGTACATTAAAAAATAAAATTATGACCAATTTGATTGGAAAAACATGCCAGTCCATTTCTACTAGGGAATTAGATTTTCCCAAAAGAACAAAATTGCAGAATCTTTTAAAATGTTTCCTTTTACTCAAACTAAGCCAAATTCTCAGAATTCTCAGCAAACTTCAGTTTCATTACACAGATTCAAGTCTCTAGTCACCCGTGGCTCAGCAGGTAAAGAATCCACCTGCAATGTAGGAGACGTGCAGGTTGGGAAGATCCCCTGCAGGAGGAAAGGGCAACCCACTCCAGCATTCTTGCCTGGGAAATCCCATGGACAGAAGAGCCTGGCAGGCTACAGCCCACGGGGCCACAAAAAGAGTAGGACACGACCGAGCATGAACACATACGCTAAAGTAAAAGCTAGCTTAGTGCAACATACAGGATATTCAATGCATGTTTTCTTCATCCAGGAAACACATGCTTCAAAAGCATATGCTATAAGTATTTGGTGCAAGTACCCTAAAACACATTCTAGGCACAGCCACCTTGTATTTCAGCTGTGTACAGGAGAGAGAGGCTGTAGTAACCACCTTCCGGTGAAGGAAACACCTGGTCTAAACGTTGCTTTGATTCACACATCATCTACTAGGGTTTTTTGTTTTCCTGTGACTTTCAGTTCACTAATCCCCATGTGGTACACCAAAAGAAGTTTATTCTGCAATAAGCTAACAGAGCTAGGACTAGTCAGTCTACTTTAAAACATCAAAGCTTGGATTACTTGAATCCTAAAGAATTAAGACTGCTTTGTATTCCTGCCCCAAATATAGCTGAGAACATTGCATTTATGGGACTTAGGCTGTTGGGTTTTATTTGGTACAGGTCACATGCGTTTTCCTTCAAACTTTAAATGTTTTACTTTGTATTGGGGTACAGCTGATGAACAATGTTGTGGTAGTTTCAGATGAGCAGTTGAAGGGCCTCAGCCATACACATGTATCCATTCTCCCCCAAGTCCCTCTCCCATCCAGGCTGGCTTTGAGTAGAATTTCATGTGCTATACAATAGGTTCTTGTCAGTTATCCATTTTGAATACAGCAGTGTGTAATTGCAGGTCAGTTGCTTTTAACTGAATCTTAGTCAAAAGAGGTTATACGTTTTTCTATGAGAAATTTATCACTGAAATATGCCCTAAAACTAAAAATTGGTCTAAACACATGACCTGAAACTCTGTCCTACCTCTATTACTGCATGAGGTAATAAGATTTAATTGTTCAGTGGACTCTTTTAGGACTGCACCCACTTCAAGTCTATCCATCCAGTTATTCAGGGGTAAGTGATCTCCCTGGAGTCTTTTCAGGCTCCTTTATTTCTCCTTTGGCTTGCATTCTGCCCATTCTGCTCCTCGTGGGGACTTCCACGACAGAACAGGCAACTGAAAGGGGGCTGAAACTCAAATCCCCGACCAGGCGACGACTCTGAATCTTAAGAATCACATCACTCCCTGCTTATATTGGATAATTTTTCTAGATAATCCAGAACAAGAGAAAAACAGTGTATTCTGTCTAAATGTAAGAGATACTAGTAGGCCAGTTAGGTGACCTCTCCCAAACTTCAGTTTTCTCACCCAACATAAAGAGTTAATGATATTTGGGGGAGTTGGTGTGATGATTAGATGTAATCTATGTAGAGCACTAGAGTCAATGCCTGACACATACAGTAAGTAACCCCAGAAGTGTCAGTACATCAGCTGATGGTTATTAACAATTACGGTGTTTTTTCTAGAATTTATGTGCATTATATAAATAGTATCACAAACAGCTGCCAACAATTTAAATGGAAACATCGATATACAATGTAACTCCATCAGTGCTATCCCTGATTACCTGAAGAAAGAGGAAATTAATGCATAGTCATGAATGTTCTAGCGGCTCTAGATGGCTACCAACTAACTGAGTCAATGTGTCCCTATAAAGCTCAGTTCCAACAGGCTACGTGATCCATGAAGAATACCTGTGAGTTTCACTTGTTCACCAATGCTAAAGGCCTTACATGTGGTCATTTGAAAACTGAACTTCTAGGTCATCTTTAACTATAATGGTCACACAGACAGATCACAAAATCCTATACACACAAACAGATAACCAGGCATTTTCATAAAGAACTGTTCCATTTCAAATACAATTTCTCACAAAACACTGTTTCAATAACATATTAAAAAAAACTTTTGTAGAGATAATCAAAAGTACTCTTACCACATTGCCTGCACAGATACAGGTTTGAATATGTGAACTCTGTTATCTGTTGAGACGCTGAATCCACTAAGGAAAACAGAATGAAACAAAAATCTGTTAAGTGAGAGTAGGTTATTTCAGTTGTGAGTTTTCAAGGATGTTTCCTAGGCTAGCAACTGCTGGCTCAGCAGAAGGTATCAAGTACTTTGTGTAGAAGTAAACTGGAGTAGGACTTGACTGAAAAGCTTCGAAAAATTGTCTGATTTTATCTACCAAGCAACATGAATGGACTCCCACATTGGAGTGAGGGAATTACATACTGTTTCCCAGCTGGAGCTATGGACAAACTGTTCTGCTGTATATTTCCACTTGGAAGTCTTGCGGGTTCTTAGTAAACCTGACCCTGGTATTATAAACTGGAGCAAACATCTTGGTCTCTTGGGGACACATTCTAAAAACACCAGGAGGTGGGGGTGGGGGGGTCACTGGAAAGAACTGGCACAGAAATGGGTTATACTGTAGGCTGACAGCTGGCAGAGGCAGCGAGAGGTTATTTGAAACAGAACATATCATCCTCTGGGAGAGCATTGCAACAGTCCCACATGCTCAGACTAAAGAGTGAGCCAACAGACTAGCTTGTCTTTGTTTGGATTCTTACCATAGTCGGCCCAGAAGAACAGAAGTGAGAGGCTCTGGCAAGTTGTATTTTTACTCTACTTTACAAAACAGGAGTTTAAAAGGACTCGCTGAGCTGCTGATATGACAGTTCAGTTGGGTACAATGGGCCTCCCATTCAGCTGAATGAATGGGCACTAAGATGGAACACCACCCCTTGGCTTTCTGTAGGAGAATAAAAAGGGAAAGCTCTTACCCATCACCATCCAAATGGATTAGGGTGTCACTCCAGAGAGGCAGGACTAAGCCCATGGTACAAGTGCTACTGCAAGACAAGAAACAGTCCATAAGTTACTTTCTGTTACCCTAGGAAGCAGTTCTTTTTTTTAACTCTTTCACCACAAAGGATGTCCCTAAGTTCTAAATTCTGACACAGGTGGAGAAACTTCTAACATATTACAATTAGTATCTGTTATATAACTAACTGCACACTTGTTAGTTAGATACTTGTATATTGAACAAAGGAAACCTAACTGACGCAGCTTCCTGTATTGCTGTCTTGCCAATGGCCGCTGTCTGAAAAGTCCAGGTGACGGCTGATGCGCTACTGGCAGGGCTCAGCCCAAGATTACAGCTCCCAAGTCAACTCTAAGAATTATTTCTAATACCAAGAACTGCTGGTTACTGCAGATCTCTGAATGTGATTTGCTCAATTTTAATCCCAAGGTTTACATAGATTTATTAAATGCCAGAATATACTCAGTAGCCTAAAAGGGAAAAGTAATTGTTGATGGCCGAGAGAGACAAAATAGACACACTGCCGTTTAAATAAATAAAACAGTGCTTGGTGGCTATGCGCTGAAACAGCACTGCTGAAGTACAGAGTGAACAGGGCTCTCAACAACCAACAAAGGGGTAGCTCTAGGATCATGTGTTAAAATATTATTTAAATCACACACACTCCAGGAAAGAAATTAGTTTTAAGTTAGTGGAACAGGCTGGGATGGAAACCATGGACTCCCAACTGAGTCTCTACCACACCACTTCTCTGGCCAACTACAATCACCTTGGTAAGACTTCTGCGACTTTTTCTCCTGAAGGCTGCCATAAGCCATTCTCCCCTCCATCTAGTCTCCCAAAGCCTCCCACACCTTCCCTGCCAATATATCTAGAGAAGCAGTATGATACAGGAGAAAGAACACTGGACGTAGGAGGTGCAACAGTGAAGGATGGCTAAGAACACAGGCTCTGGAGTCAGAGGGGTTCTACAATCTGGATTCTGACATTAACCATACAATTAACTGTGTTGTGCTCCAGCTTCCTATCTGTAAAACTAGGATAAAAAATACCTTCTTTATTGAGCTGTTTTGAAGATTAAATTAGATAACACACCAAAAAAAAAAAAAAAGTGTGCAACAGTGCTTAAACATAACAACTACCATTTATTGAGCAGTTAGTTATACCATGTCAAAAGATCTGAACCTAATCTCCTTCAGTATTTCAATTCCTTTTGACATGTTATTTAACCCCTCCCAGGCTTAGTTTCTTCATCTTAAAATGCAGGTAACAAAACCTAAACCTCATAGGGTTATCATAAAAATCTAACATATTTAAAGTGAAAAAATATATATATGTATGTTTAAAAAAAATATGGAACACTTCATGGACTTGCGTGTCATCCTTGCTCAGGGATCATGCTAATCTTCTCTGTATCATTCCAATTTTAGTATATATGCTGCCGAAACGAGCACTACAGTGAAAAAAAAGTAAAGTGAAAAATACATATGACTGTATTGTCATGTAAAACAAATGTTCAATATGAATCTGTAATGGGTGCTCTAGGAAAACGGAGAGTGATTTTGGCAGGGCAGGGAGGGGGGCGTCATGATAATGCATTAAAAACAACGCAGGGAACATGGAACTCCCATTGCTGGAGTCACTGCAGGGCCAAGGGAGGCTGTCCCCTAGTTGGGCAGCGTCTAATGTGCACCGCACTTGCTAGCCTGTATTACTCACAACGACACTAGTGATTCCAGAGTAGGAGATTCAGATCAAGATTGAACAGCTTAAGCACACCGTAACCTTGGGCCTGGACTCCTGAAGAGCTCTTGTGCCAGGCCCTGGAGGGAGGAAGACAGCTCCACCACTGTTTTTGTTGAATAGATGAGATGGGTACAGAGAAAACCTGTTTTGAAAATGGCTTCTCAAGGTTGAGTGGGCTTTTAGAGTAAGTTTTTTTAAGGAAATGCTTAGCTAGGTCCTAGCAACAAGTATATGAAGGGTCAATAGCTTAGTGGCAGATCGAGAAATTAAGTAACTAAACAAGGTACCAAAGGTTCAAAGGAGTGTGATCCATGGGCTTGTGACCAGACACCAGTTAAACTTTAGACAAGTGACAATGATATGCAGGAAGCAAACATCACATTTTCTGCTTGTATTCAGGTCAGAATGTTTTTTTACATTAAGGAGTAGCTTCATCACATGACAGGAAAGAGAGGCCCGAATTAGGCACATCTAGTATTTTTATCTAGTTTATCTTGAGTCACATGAGATTTTCTCCATTAAAATATAGTTACTTCATTTAATAAAAGACACTCATCTCATTAAAAAATATTCATTGAGTGGCTTTATGTACCAGACATTTCAAGGTATTGGTGGAATGAAGAAAAATTAAAACATCATAAAGCTCTTTTATAACTTGAAATATATGTAAAATGCAATTTGGAAACTAAAGCTATACTTTTTATTAAAAAATTTATCACTTAAACTATAACACAATATGTAAAGATCTTACAAAGAGGCTAAATAAACTGGCTATAATAGATTTTGAGAATCCTTGGAATGAGCATGTCATAAACATTCTGGGTTTTAATACTGTTCTGAAACATTAACTTTTTATATTCACAGATACAAAGGATACAGATTCCTTAAACAGCAACTGAGACAGAAATGATAGTAGATTACCTGAGCAATGGTATTCTGAAGTAGGTAGCATTTTTCTTACTATCTAAGCTCATTCAAACAGACGGTGTAGGGGAATAATTCATAACATCAAATTTACCAAACAGAATTAAAACTAGTTTCTCTAGCTTTTCTTATCACATTTTGTCTTCCATAAATGAAAATTTTCTTTTGTTGGTCAGATATGAATCAGGCAGGACTATTACCAAAGACAGATGCAGTTCACTGAGGATAAATTACTGGGCACTTACATTAATAAGCATTCTTTATGATTTCTAGGGATGTTCAGGACAAGGTGAAAGAGAGAGAGCATTAGACACCTGACTTCTCACACTCTGGGTCAGGAGAATCTGAAGTTGTCACCTTCTCTCTCGGGTAAGACTCAAGTGCTGTGTCCATGCAGCTCCAGTTCCTGTTTTGTGGGACTTCCAAAGGAGCGGTCAGGGAGAACCAAATCAAAGGAAGGAAGATGGAGAGCAGCACTGTCCACCTGATCTTTCTGTGATGACGGAAACGTTCTGTCCAACAGGCAAGCCACAAGTCACATAGAGCTAGAGCACGTGAAATGTGGCTAGTTGTGGCAGAGGAACTGAAACTTTAGTTTTATTTAATTTTATTTAAATAGTTACAATGTGATTAGTGGCTTATCATACTAGACAGTACAGATCTAGAAAGATAAAAACCCAAGTCAGAGGTTTTAAAATACTAATTAATGTAGGCAAGATAGGTATTCTTATAGGATGAATACTTCTGTAAAGATGTGCTGCTTAGCTAACAGGAGAGGTTAAAACCGGGCAGGAGAAAAAGCTTCCTAAATGTGGTTTTCAATCCTGTGTAATTGCAGGGCATTACAATTAAAGGCTGTAAGTGGTATACAAGGTAACGACTCTGGCCCTGTGATCCTGGTGAACCCACAAATCATTTTCAGGCTGACTGCTATGTTCAAACTCAGGTAAACACTAGTTTGAAAATCTTTCTGGTGACAGTGTGATTTTTTTTTTTCCCCTCCTTCCAACATTAGGACAATGAGAATAGCTCTCAGTCTTCTTTGCTCTCTGTGGCTAAATTCTCCCAGCCTGGGTCACACCCCTAGCTACTCCACAATTGCATTCTAGTCCTGAACCAGGAAGTCCATGCTTTGAGACATCTGGCAGGATTTCCTGAGGCTTATTATCTACAATGCAAAGATCTGCTTAGCAGCCACATTCCACAGTCTTCCTAAGATTTCTCCAGAAAAAGTGGGAAGATAAAAAAAGAAAGCGACAAGCCTTCGGGGCATAAAGCAGCCAGGTTCTGTGTGATATCTTTAATCTTAGGATGTAAAGTGCTGCTAAAGTCAAAGGTGAATATTATAAAAGGTTCTGTTTTGAGTTTTAGAAATCATCCTCCCCCCCTCCTTTCTAACTCAGAAGAAGAAAAAAGGAAGTGTGACATCTGACAGAAGCAAGGTGTGTGAGGCCATGGATGTAAGAGACTGGAATTAAAGTGGGCTCTCGTTGCCCCCTGAACCTACTGGTACAAAATCACAAAGGATGTGTGCCCCAGAATCACCAAGTGAGTCATTATGGCTTAAAGTAGATTGCAAAGAAAAGCCATTTTTTTCCCCTCCTTGGAGACAGAACTTTAAACCATTTGCTTTATATCATTACTACCTAAAGATGAGAGGAAGAAGGTAAGGAAGAGTGGTAAATCAGGGACACATAACCAAAGACATCACCAAACAATTTTGTCTCTAAAGATTGTGTGGCTAAGATACTTTTGATGTTCTCTAGTTTTACACGCTGAACTTTTTAGAGGTAGAACTGCATAAGATGTTCTTGTGATAACTCAAAAGGTAACTAGAGTAGGTTGTTTAAAAACAGGTTATCCCATCCTCCCATTTGAGGTGCCATACCTGTCATTAGAGGAGAAATCCATTCCTAAGACGATGCTTTCTTCAGTGTCTTGTCTACCATTAGTTGAAACCACTACCATATAGCGTGTTCGATTCTGGTAAGTACTTTCTAGTCTTACAGCCTGGAAATTAAGAAATTTACAAGATCAATTTAAGATCATTCAACCCTTTTTACAACACCATTTTAAAGTATACTCAGGGAGACAGCAGAGCCATAGTCAGGAGATCTAAATTTAAATTCCAACTCATGTATTAACTACGAAGCTTTCAGTAAGTTATTTGGAAGGGATATAATAATACCTATTCTGTTGGGTTATAAGAATCATATGAAATAATGCATATGAAGTACAGTGCTTGGCATATACTAAATGCTAAATAAACATTTGCTGTTAGATTAATTTATAATAGTAACAATTACCCCGGCATGTTCTATTGATCTAAGAGTGGAATGTGATCTGTGACTCACAGATCCAAGTCCCACCAACAATTATAATACAAAGAAAAGTTTATTTATTTATATATTCATTTTTATTTTTTCCATTTATTTTTATTAGTTGGAGGCTAATTACTTTACAATATTGTAGTGGTTTCTGCCATACATTGACATGAATCAGCCATGGATTTACATGTGTTCCCCATCCTGATCCCCCCTCCCGCCTCCCTCCCCATCTCATCCCTCTGGGTCTTCCCAGTGCACCAGCCCTGAGCACTTGTCTCATGCATCCAACCTGGGCTGGTGATCTGTTTCAC